GACTCGTGTACAGGAGTCCACCTCTGGTTTAACCAGTCTGTCAGTGGTCATCCATGATCACAAGCTCACTGTTGTCACAACAATAGTAACACAGCAGCACTCGTTCTAACAAGGATATCTTTTCATACTGCTGTAGTAGGGTGTGTGGTTGTTTGTGTGTGTTTGTGTGTGTGTTTGTGTTGGGGGAGTGACAAAAAGAGCAAAGGATGTAGCTAACAATGTGTAACCTGCAGAACCTGAGGCTATTTTTTTTCACTTTCTGTTTGCTGTAGTTTTAAACACATGGGGGAAATCTCTCAAATTTACAGACACCTATGTCAAAAACCTTCATCTTTTCATTTTTATAAAATACTAAATCTTTGTCTCCCAGTCTCAGTAGACACCAAAATCCCACATTCTTCTAAAAGACTGGGGACGGGATTTTTACAAAGCTTAGCTTGGCTTTATTTTTTTTTCCTTCCATTTAAAGTGTTTTAACTGTTTTGCAGCCCCTTCACCGACAGGAGGCATTCAGAGAGAATTTCTTAGACTGCAAAAGAGGCCAACAGTTACTTTTTTTTAAAGAAAAAGTCTTTGACCAGCTGACATTGATTTGACATTTTTCCTAATTTCTTTTGGTGTTTTTAGCTCAGTTTGTAATTCCGTTCACAATGGTTCTGTGATGGTTCCCCAGGTGCGAGTCGCCAAACCCTACATCAGTTGTCCAATCCCAGAGTGCAGCGGTTACCTAGAGGAAGGCGTGGTGGTATCTCACTTAGCCACTGAGGACGTGGCCAAATATCGTTACTTTTTGGAGCTAAATAAGTTGGATTCCAGCACCAAGCCCTGCCCCCAGTGCAGTGAGTTCACCACCCTGAATAAGCACAATGCCCACCACTCTGAGCACAAGTACAAGGTGGGTACCGATACACACTCAGTTAGACTACATAACCCAAGGCAGTTTCTGTGAGGGTCTTCTTTTTCTGTCTCTGCTGTAGATTCAGTGCAACAATTGCCAGTTTGTATGGTGTTTCAAATGCCACGCCCCCTGGCACAACGGTCTCAAATGCCGTGAATACAGGAAAGGAGACAAGCTGCTACGAACCTGGGCCAGTGTAATAGAACATGGACAAAGGAACGCCCAGAAGTGTCCTCAGTGCAAGGTAAGAACAGGCAGTGTCTGAGCATCAGCAGCAGACATGGCCACTGCTGGCTGTTGCTGCAGTGCAACGTGGGTGTGGGTAAATGGAAAGGACTGACTGATGGAGAGCTGAATCAATGTAGATGAATAAATCGATGAAGGTAAAGAAGCATTAAAAGCTGGGACAGATGATGGATGGTCCGCTCCAGAGAACGGGATGGAGCCACGGTTTTAAAGTGCATGTGGCACAACGGATCAGAGATGCACAGATGAGGCACATATTGGAAAAAAAAAAGAAAATGTCTGCTAGACTCTGACTGTCAGAACACTGGCCAGCGCTCATTTCTCTGTCTCATTACAACCAAGTTAGACTACACAGCATCCAATTTAACTGTCGGAACATGACTAAAGGAAGGCATAAATTAGACTAATTACCGGTTTATGGGAAATGTTTGCTCACAGGGGCAACGGCTTTCCATCTGTGTGTGTCACGCTGCTGTGCTGCTCCTTGTGGCACAGTTGCACTTTACTGTGAAGCCAACAAATTGGTGTCAGGCTGGGTTACAGCGAGGGGAAAAAGGAATGAAATCAGCTGAATATCATTTCTTGTTTGGAGAAGGACTGCTTACTTTAGGGAAGCCAAGTCCAAACTCAATGGCCAAGACAGCTGGTACACTTAGTCGAAATGTACGAAATGTAAAATCCTTAATTTGTGTTGTAACTCCTTTGGAATCTCTAAATCTGATCTACTGGTTTGATGTGATAAACCAGTTCAGAAAACAAAGAGGGGAGAGTGAACAGTCTACTGTGGCTCGGAACTGCAGACAGGTCAGTCAAGGTCAGTTTTCATGAGGTCTGGAGTGATGATGTTGAAAAAAAAAAACAGTGCAGTTTTTGGAAGTTTCTACAATTTTTCAAAGAACATGTATCCGTCACAAAGTTGCATATCACTTCATGCTAGGACTACTAAACCTCCCATCTCCATGTGTTTGTTTTCTGTCTCCAGATTCATATTCAGAGAACGGAGGGATGTGACCACATGACTTGTACACAGTGCAACACAAACTTCTGTTACCGCTGTGGTGAGCGCTATCGACACTTAAGGTTCGACTCCCTCAGCCTTTGTTTTCATGCATTTTTGTCTGCAGCTCTCTGGTTTAATCAGCACCTGGTCTTTTGACAGGTTTTTTGGGGACCACACGTCCAACCTCAGCGTGTTTGGCTGCAAATATCGATATCTGCCCGACAAACCTCACCTGAGACGGTTAATAAGAGGATCCGTTTGTGGTAGGTTTGTTTTCTATACAAATGTAGTGGTGTGGAAAACAATTCTCGATTTGCTTCTCGTGCACACAGTTAAATCCATGTTCTGAAATGTAATAACACACCGAAGAGGCTCCTGTCAGTTATGAAGTTGTTAGTGTGGAGTGTTGGCTGTGCTTGACTCAGAGTGAAGCAGTTAGACAACATGTATACAAACAAAATATACAAAGATTTGTCATTTTTGAAATGTCCCAGTTTTTACTCACCCTATTTCCGTTCATCCTTGACCATGTCTAGATATTGGGCGTGGTTCACTAAGTTGTGGCCATGTTTCTATTTTTAGGCAGCAGAAATTGGCTGTGTCCCATCAACAAAACCTGGTCCTGCGTGACTGGGGCAGAATGTCCATGTTCATGTTGGAAAAACAAATACTGCAAAGCATTTAATCACTTACTTACAAACTGTGAGGAATTATATTCATATTCTTATATGTATATATAAACAAGCAAAGAACTATTCCTACAAATGGTAATAACCGGCCTGCACAGAGCCTTGATTTAAATCCAGTAAAAAAAAACAAAAAATCTTTAGAATGAATAGAAGACCATGGTCTGTGTCATGAGAGCTTAATCTCCAGATCAGCTTGATAGGTTTTCATAAATCTGTTGGCATATACTATTAAAACCATTACAGTTTTAAGAGAGGTCACAGTTGTATATCCGGAGAATCGGAGAGTGAATTTAAGCCGTTTGCTTTCTAACGAAGTTTGAAGGAGTCGCTGGCTATATCAGATTATGTTAATCATAATTATCTCCTCACATTTATCAGGTTACTGCATGAGTAAGCCTGCAGGAACAAGAACTCCTCTGACAGTTCTGTTTGACTCTGTTTGTAATGACAGCTACAGCTTGTTATATCAGCGGGGAGCACGTCAGACCACGAGCTAATTTGTCCCTAACAAGAGCTATTTCCTCATTACAGCCCGCATCGCTGTTCTGGTGTCATGGACGGTTAGCACTGCACTTTTTACTTTAACTATGAAACAATTTAGTGGAAACGGAGCTCACGGAGAAAGTCTTATCCACTCAGTAGCTTGGATATCTTGTCACAGGAACTCTTTAAATGTGATGGAAGTGAGTTTAAGATACATGCTGAAATCTAAAGTTAAACCTGGGCATTTTGAAACAGTGTTTATTCACCAAATGTAAAGTAATAGGTGTTTTTCTCTCTTTTACTCTGCAGCCACTAAAGTGCTGATTGCTCCAGTGGTCATCGTGCTACTTGTGGTCTTCGGAGCTCTCGGACTGGTGTTAGGTAATGCCATTACATGCAAACACATCCACACACACACACACACACACACACACACACACACACACATAATCTGAATGAAGCTTCAGGGAGGAGCAGCAAACACAAACCATCTAAATGCTGTGGCTGCAGACGTTGGCTTTCACAGAAGCGGTGCAGCTGCAGTGTCAAGGACATCTTCACTCCCACACATATCATTAGCACTATTGAACCACACATATTCACTGGCTGCTCAACTGGATTTTACTTGTTGGAACTAACGTCCAACAGGAGACACTGTGGGCCATCTGTCAGGCAGCATTGTGAACTGGTGATGCTTGAGCTGAACTGTAATTAGTGTTAATCCCATCCCCACGTCTGTATGTCTGACAGATGATCCACTTCAGGCTGACATGCTGTGATGGCAGATTCATGTTTATTTGCATAGTTAATATAATCACTGTCTCCCTGCTCTGTCCATTGAACCTGACAAAAAAAGACTCATGATTTATTTTTTTTGTTTTTATTTTATTCTCCCATCTTCCCCCAGGTTTGGTAATTGTACCGGTTTATTATGTGTGTAAGAGGAGAAAGAAGGAGAATACCCAAGGGTTTGGACGCTGGTTATGAATCCTTCCAGACCGTCCAGACGCCCACCCACCACTCCTCAGGGACAGACACGCCATCCTGAGTCATAGGAAACGTCCGAGAACATCATCACAAATGTCCATTAGCGAGGAGCCGGACCCCTGGAGGAAACGTATAAAAATAAGTGTCAACATTAGAATTGGATTCAAGAGAAAGAAACCACATGGCTGTTACACAAATTTGACCATTTTCACACATGTCCACTACAGCTACACATGAACCAGAGCTGGGACCGCTCTAAAACTGTAGTAAAACTAGTTTCAAACATTTGTGTTTTTACTTTGATTTGTTAAACATAACCTAATTGAGAAATCGATGCCGGTATTCTCTATATTTTCAGTATGATGGAAATATAGAGGATATCCAGGTTTGAGCAGCACCCAGAAAAGGTGGCTGATAAATTCAGAAACACCTCAGTCAACTCTAAAATGTTAAGACATAAAACGACTTTAGAACTGGGTTACATCCCGATTTCTTTTAATCACACTGTATAAAAGACTTTCAGCCGCTTTCAGTTATAGGGTGTTGTCTGAGTCAAATAACAATGTCACGTATTACCAACTAAAGTTAAGTTCTACTGCATTTGTAGGTGCTGTACCGGCTTTTGTGTTTGGATCACTGGGTATTGCGAGACTAGTGGCGAGCGATTATGTTGGACCGTAGAGATAAAAAAAAAGGTTCACTCACAGCAGCATCAGTGTCAAACTGACTCCTAGTGAACCATGTTACAAAATACATGAAGTGAAATCTTAATACAAGCCATACTGTATAAATAAGTTCTTACTGATGTAACAGGAGCTGGACTTTTCTATTACCCCCCTCCCCTCCCTATTTGTTGTCATTGATTTTTGTGTGGACAGCCCACCCGGTAGAACTGAATGTGGGCTGGATGTAATGATAGTACTACTGTGCTATTGTTATTCTTAGCAACGCTGGATAATGTCCTACTGCCTGCTCTCAAGTTCTCCCTGGAAGGCTTAAAAGTTTTCCAAAGACATTCAGCCTTCAGTGCACTGACCCCAAAAAGACGTATTGGAATCATTTATGGAGACTGCGTCTCCGTGGTGTTTTCTTTCGATAATTTACATCATCTCTTGACTTTGTGTGTTCATCTTCCCGTCTGTCTGTACTTCCTTCTAGGGCTGGGCTGTACACATGTGCAGCTCTTTTGCGGTTTCAAAGTGTTTAGAGGAAATGTAGAAATCAGAAGCTCGGGCCGGTCAGGCTGTTGGACCTGTTCAGCCAGGGCAGGGAGCTGAGTCCTGACCACCAGGAGGCAGCACATTCATGATGGCTTCCAGGGATTTTCCAGAGGGGCTGCAAAGTGTTTGTTGTTGAGGATACACTTCTGGTTCTTTCTACATAAGGTGTCTAATGTTAATAGTTAATGTATACGTCTGTCTAAAACAGGAGCCTCAAGCCTCTGGCCGGGAGCTCACTTCCAACCCCAAAACTCCTGGTGTCTGGCTCATGACTAGATAATAATAATTTCATTTTGCACTTTATTCATTTTTTTGAAACTTTTCAGTTATTAAAGTGCTTTAGTTGGTCGTTTAAGAATCAAAAACAAAGATTTTTACTTGCTGTTTTACATTAGACTGCTTGGGAGTATTAAAATCCAACACTGTTTGCAGGAGTGGCCCTCAGCTCAGAGTTTGAGACCCCTGACCTAAACATGTGTGCATTATCCTTTTCCTTGGATCCATGTTGGATTGTAGCTGTAGTCACTGCTGTAGTCGCTTACTCTTTACCTGCTGTACGTCTGCATCATTACTGTGAAAATGGTGCAAAAGCCAAAATCAAAAACAGCTGGACACACAAATGACTTGGCTTTTCTTAGACTTTCAGTCTTTTGCCTTTACAGAGGTTTGGTTGCTGGGCTCGTTGTAGAGTTGTTACAGGTTGAGGTTTCATTCCACTAAAATATACTGAACCCTGGCCAACATCATGACTGATCATGTTTTAGATTCACCAAAAAGTTCAAAATGCAACCTTATGATGTCCCTCGTTCATCTGAGAAAAAATGGAAATGTTTGAAAACTGGGTGTGTGATACAAAGGCATTTCACGAGCTTAGCGATGATTTGTATTCTTTGCTACAGTGTAGCGTGTTTTATCTTTTACCCGTGACTAGATTCAGGATTATAGCATGGAAGGAAAGCAGGGTCTTTTTTAATCCAGTGAAATTACATTAGTCTTTAATCCGTCAGGCAGAATAATTTTCTACATTTAAGAATTTAAATCCACTGCCATCAAGCACAGTCTTACTGTGATTAAACATACACGCAGGTATAAGCATTAATAATTGCAATTTCTTTAGTAGTTTTTAACCCCAAAACCGAGATGTGAGTGCTCTCTCTCTCTCTCTCTCTCTCTCTCTCTCTCTCTCAGGGAGTCCTGTTTTTTATGTTCACTGTATCCACAGCTCTCTGTCTACATGAGCTGTGCCACCGAAACAGCACAACAGCATCAATGATTCCAAAAAAAAAGCTTCCTGATCCTTTGCCCTGAGCTGCTTAGCAACCAGATTTGATTCCAGGAATTAAAAACTCTCCAGTGTCAGAACAGCTCCAGACTTTCACTCTGTTTCTCTGCCTGACTCTGCTGTTCTGTGGAGTTCAAGGCTCAGTCCTGCATGCGTCAAAGTTATTGAGTTTACCCCGGCAGCTGCTGTGGACTTCAAATGTTTCACTAAACCATGTTTAAAGGAGTTGCTTGGTTGGCACTGACCGCCATGTGACAGGCTTACAAAGAAATGTGGTCATTTTTACTTCCAATTGTCTCTGGGACAAACAGGAAATGCTGACCTATTCCTGTTTTTCTTACTATGGCACTATTTCCAAAATTAATTGCCCCATGGTGTGTTGTCCGACTGATAGCCTTTCATTTTGCCAAAAAAAACGAAATGAAACACCATGTTTGATACATAATTTGTTTTTTAAAGACATGCTAATATTTTGTCGGTTATGGTAAACATAACTTTTACATGATTGTGCCTGTATTTTTGTAGCTGCAGGCCAGAAGTAAATGAATGTTTTTTTTAGAGCAGTCACTCTCCCATACTTGTTTTGTAATCCCTCTATTCATCCACATCGTGGTTACTTTTTTTTTTTTTAACACTGCAGTTCAATCTTATTTAGACAATCAAATATATAATTCCAACTCAGGAATTATGAGGGTATTTGGTTTTAGGAACTGTGTTTATTTTAAAAGGGGTCTCCCAATTTCTTTAAGTCAGAAAGAAGTAACATGTGTGTAACTTGTGTTTGTTTTTTTTTTGTTTTTGCCAAGCATCCTTTAGAGAAATGTTATGAACTCAGTTTGCACTAAAACACACATTTTTACATCTGCTGCCTCTGTTGAAAATGTCTGATAGTTGTTTATTTATGCAACCGCAGGATGGAGAATAAATAGCCAAGTGGAGTCAGAAATAATTGGTTTGAATTATTTCACACAGATATAATAAAATATATCAAAAAGGGTGATATTTAGTTTTTATTTTTCCACAAAGTATATAATCGGTTATTCAATGATTCAACTCCAGTTGTGACTACACTTTATTGCCAGCAGGGGTCATCAGATTACAAACTGAACCCTTCACCCTGTTGAACAATGAAATCAAAGTTTTAAAACAATATACAAAAAGAATACATATTGTTTTTCAATCAATACCACTGTTTTAAACAGTGCAGGTTGTAGTTAAGGAATGTACACAGTATAATATCTAAGAAGAAGAGGTTTACATAGGGCCACTCACACTTTAAACTAGGTCCCCTCGAGGTGAACATATCTGTAGAATTAATGTCAATTTTGAGGCTAAAATCACTATAACGTTGATGTCGGGTTGGTGCAATGTTTTAAAATTAGATATTCACTTTTTAGAAATTAATGGATGTATAGAGGAATTGGGTAATACTTCTAAAAATACATAGAGGAAGTTGACTGACAGTGAAGCCAGACGAATGACTGCAACGCCATTACTGCGCACGAAGCTCATTGGCTGCTCGGCCTAAGGACACGAAGCAGCGCGTGACATCTGAGGAGGCGTGGACGCGCACGGAGGCGGCGTTGCGCTCAAAGCTACTCTGTTTTATCTGTAACTGTCTGTGTGCAGGTTACAGTGTCTCTGTGCGTTTGAGTGATAAAGTCAGCGTCTGAGTCCGAGTCTCAGGAGGCTGTCGAAGGAGTTCACCTGCAGGCTGTCACCAATGGAAACCAGACAACAAGGTGAGACGATGTTTTTAAAAAGGAAAAAAAAATGGAATAACTTCTGCTGAACTGCTGGTCTGTGGATGTTATAATGAGCTGAAGTTTAATAATGACTGCACACGTCACACACTGAGGTCAGAGTAACAGGAATAAACAATAGTTATATATAAACAATCATGCTGGGGAAGCAGTAAAAACAACAACAACAACAACAAAACAAATTGTGTAAACGCTACTGTATGCTTTATTATGACAGGTTTTGTGCACACACAAACTGGACACGTGTCAGTGTGTTGCTGTGTGGGTCATGTCAAGAAGCAGTGAACCAGTATGCAGCAGCAGCAGCAGCAGGCTGCAGTGAGGTGTTGTTTAAGACAACAGGAAAACTGCAGGCCAAATAAACTACTGTGACCGAGTTCTGTTTACAGTTTCCATGCACAAATGTTACCTGATCATTTCATGCAGGAGTTTTCTGGTATGTATGATATTTGCAGGAGATTCTACTCTGACTCTGATCTTTCTTGTGATCAAAAACCTCCTGAGTCTCAGTGAACTTTTTGAAGATGGTATTTTGCTAGAAGTAGTAAATTGGAGCGTTGACATTTGCTCATTAGTTGTTGTGAATTCCTGCATGTTGATGTTGGTGGGTTTTTTTTTAATAGTTGTGAAATAATTATTAAGTCTCATGCATTTAATGTAGTTGTAGCAAACAATCACCGTTACTTTAAGTGTTTCTGGATTTCATTATTTGTTGAATTTGTTGTTAGTGCTGCTTGGTTTTCTCACTGACTACGTATGAAGTATGATGATCTACAAATGTAGATGAAACGTACCAAGACCAAACCTTTAAACTTCAAAGAAAACCTTCATTTAATATGATTAGTGATATTGGATGTAAAAGCCTCCTGTGTTGCTAGTTCATGAAAGTCTGATGTGAATTTGGGTGTGACTTCTGAATTATTGAAACATTTGATTAGAAAGGGATCTGGACCAAGAGCCATAGATATAAATATATAAAGTGTTGCACCAAGTACATGGAACAGGATTAAATGTTAATGGAACAAAAATATAAAATAGACTGGGACAAAGTGCTTCCTATTCCCAAGATAACTTCATGTAGTAGAAAGTATTTATAGCTGAGGCCTATGAATGTGGCCTTTTATTGTTCCCATCAATGCTACTTGCATCAGTATGCTGCCCATACTGTCGGTGCCTCAGGTTTAGCCTCAATTGATTTTTACAGCCATATGACCATCCCCTGACCTCCGATTTAACATGACCACATGACACACTGGACCAAACAGGAGTCTTGTGACCAAAGATATTCAACTCCGCACAAAATGAAAGGGGGAAAAAACACGAGGTATGTGCAGGCGAGGGGCTAAAATGGAACATTTACAAGATTAAAAGACGGCGTTTGAGCTTTAAAGGTTGATGTCACCCTTCTTGGTTGATTCCTGTTGACTTCTGTTGACTAGTCAGAAACTGAAAACCTTAAGGAAATGACTCCCACTGAAACAACAGTACCCATGTGCTGACCTGTTTCCTCCTGCTGTGCGGCTGTAATGACAAATGTATCTTCTACCAGGGAATTCAAGGATTACTCCATAACCCCTAGGTTTTCTTGCTGAATTGTTTGAAATCTGTTTTCTTTCTCTTCTTATTTATTCATTTTATTTTTCAAATTAGTTTGATCTGCAGAGGTCAGGGAAGTTCTTATCCTGACCGCTGCTGCAAAGGTCAGACCTCAGTCAGAATCCTGTTCCTGTGGAAATGCAGTTTTTTCCATTGACAGTTAGCGTTAGCCCACATGGGTGTTGTGTCACTGCATAAACATTGTTCTGTTTCCTCTCGCCCTGCTGCCTTGCTCTGCTGCAGAGTTGTACTCTAGCGTTCTGGGTGATGCAGTGGTGGACTGGGGCAGCATGGGTCCAGAGGAGGCGTGGGTTAACTCAGTCACAGGAGAGTGGGAGCAGGGTAAGACTCGACTGTACCGGAAACAAATATATATGAGATGCATAAAACAGAAAACTGCTGCTGCCGTGCACAGACTCAATTTCAGAATATATATGTTGATGAACAAACACAAAATATTTTATATATTTAATGTCACTGGGGTTTTTCTTTTTTAAGTCATTGTTGCAGCACGGTTCTGTCTTCTGTGATGGAGTGTTGATTTATGTTGTGATTTCTAAGACGGAACAGAAGGACAGGTTTTGGAAAACTCGACTTTCTTCCCCCCGCTTTCAAGGTGGCGGTGTTTTGCTTATAAAACACTCGTGTCTGCAGTTTCACGTGGCTCAAAGATTAGCCTTAAACAAGTGTAATGAAAAGCACTCTCTTCCAAATTAGGATTAGTCAAGTGCTCTCCATTTTATCTTGTGTAATTTTGTTATTTGCTCAGGATTGACTGAGGATGTGGTTTACTCTTCTTCTGAGGATTGGAGCCAGCAGTCAGTGCGTGACTCCGACACCTATGTCATGTCCACCACCTGGGACATGCAGCTTGTCTCCACTGGGGAAGAGGGGAATAAATTAGAGTAGACTTTACTCTGGTTGAACATTTACTAGACATCAGTGACCTCTGTGGTCCTATAGATAGGGTTATAGCTGCCATTTAGGACAAGTCTTACGATGCAGCTTAAGTACACATTTTGTGTAGCAGAGTCCACATCAGTACTCTACTGGTTACTGCTCAAAAGATCTGATCTCTGACACAAACCTCCACATGGGGTCACGTGGCATTTCAGAGGATGAGAATGTATTTAGCATCACTTTGCTGTACCCTCTGATTTTACAGTAGTTATATGGTTGTACAGTGCAACAAAAGGCTGGTTTAATGTACTTTTGTGAAACTGAAAAAAGACACAATTTGAAGTTCACTCTCTAAAAATGTTCGTTTCTGATCACTCATCCAGACATGGATGTGTCAAGAAACTATGCTTTTGCATACCAGCAAGGGACACACACTTGCTACTGTTTCTGTGGTGTTTCAGTAAACCTTCCATTCACGTGACCACACTTAACATTAAAACAAAAAAACAAACAAATGCACTAAAAAGAAAGGGAACGAGAAACGTGATTACAAATAAGAGAGACAGTTTGCGTACCACACTGATGTACCACAGTAATGTGTCCTGTACTACATTTACTGTACACATTGTTGGATTTACTTTTTTTAAACATGACACAAACAAACCAGGGAAAATGCTTTTATGTCATGTGCAAAGCTACTATTTATACAGGACTGGTTTGAGTTCAGTGATGTGACCTGCACTTGTGAATTGTGTGCCTTTGCTGCATGTCATGCTGCTTTAACCCATATCACCTTAGATAAAGAAGTGTGTGTGTGTGGGTGTGTGTGTTATACACAAAGCTACCATAGTCAGTCAGTACTGACGTCTCTGTACACAAAGCTTCCATAGTCAGTCAGTACTGACGTCTCTGTGTCCTCCTCTGTCTAACAATGCTGCTACTTAAAGAAAGAGGACACCTCACTGCAGGTACAGTTACAGCTGGGTCCTTTCCTTATAAATACACTCTGGTCTAGAATGAATAGTCAGACACAGTGACTTGTGCATGTATTTACATTTCAGATTGTGTTTGCATACATTTAAATCTCAATGTATATTCCATACCACCGTGCTGTGGGGCACTTTAACTGTTGTTTTAGTCTCATTCCCAGCCTCCGCTCCAGCCTTTATTCTCCAGTGTGGAGGTTGGGTGAATTTCTGCCACGTCATATACAGTTTAAGTCACTGCGCAGAAGACGATTAGCCCACAGTTCATTCTGGATTAAAATACCTTTCTCCTTCCGAAGCAGAGCGTATGCTGGGCCTTTCAGCTCTGTGCTGTAATTGTGTGGATGACAAACAGTTGTCCTATACCACACACATACGTACAGTGCACTGGCCATGTAACAAAGGGTTGCTGTAGGAAGCAGTGACACCATCCTCTAAACACTGTTATCTACTGTAACCCTTTGGAATAAACTTCCCTTTTCTTTTTCACTTGTATTCACGGTTGACCAGCACTGTGTGTCCTCCATGTTTATAACATTTTGATGTTGAGTTACTGTCATGTGATTTACTGAGTGGAAATTTTTAAATCATGTGATGTTTTTCCTTTTGGTTCTGATAGCGGAGGAATCCGTGACACATTGGAAAATAAATAAATAAAACGTCCACAGGCTTCTGTTCAACATTGTTTTGGCTGTGCATTAGCTTGGACGTGTGAGCTACAGTCTGCAGTGTCAGAGGACTCGCCCACAGAGTTAATCCAGATTAGGGCTTTACAGGCTGCCGGCTGAGATTACGTAACTGTCAAGCAATCAGAGAGATGGCAATATATGAATGATCTTAGTGTAGTGGTTATCACCTCTGCCTTACACATCTGCCCTCCACAAAGGCAGTAATGTATGTCAAGAAATCACCTGTCAATACCTAAAGAGAAAGTAGTGTCATTCCAGTTATTAATCTATGAATAGATCGTTAACTGTGCAAAAGATCACCATTTTAAACGTTATATGAAGAGAAAATATTACAGTTTTCTAAAAGTATGTAATTAAAATCAGTTTAAGGGTATGTACATGTATATTTGGTCCATGATAGAGATTTGGATTCTTTGTATCCACCAATCTCCTTCCGGTTTTCATAGCTGAATGTCTATGTTAAAAATGTGAAATGAAAGTAGCACCTGTAGAACCCATGAGCTCTGACTTTACTTCCACAACAGAATTTCAGCAGGCTGTGCATTCAGTGAATATGTCCACAGTGTCTCTGCTAAATATTTTATAGGGTTTATGGATTCCCAGCCACTGAGGGAGGCTGAAGAAGACTTGGTATCAGAAGTGAATCTGAACAGCACCAACATGACAGAAGAAGAGCGGGAGGAGATTCACCAAGAACTGGCCAAAGTATGACCATCTACACTCAGTACCAATAAATAAATAAATCTGTATATGGAAATGGAGCGTATCGGTGCCAGATTGTGCTCATTGTGTGTTTTCATGTTTAGCTGGAAGAGGAGATCAACACACTGAGGCAGGTTCTGTCGTCCAAGGAGAAGCAGCAGGCAGAGCTCAGACAGAAACTGGGCGTCAATCCTCTGAGCGAGTTCAAGAACAACCTGAGCAGAGGCTGGCAAGACATGCAGACCTCCACGGCGTAAGTTCTGTTCGAGAGTGTGTGAAACAGAGTTCATTTATTCTGGTTGTATTAGTCTGTGCCAGTTCCTACATCAAGGCTGTAAAAGCAATTTTAGTATCTCCACTAACTTGGTTGCGCTTAACAGGACACTCGGTGAGTAAATAAAGGGGGGTGGGGAGGGGTGGAAATAGTTTTAACAGGCGGGAGTGTTTCCTCAGGTCAAACAAACCTGCAAATGCACGCATTTATCTCAGCTCAGGCTCAAATCCCCATCAGAGTCTGAGTCAGAATCTAAACAATGCAGTCCTAAGTGACAGTTCTGGGAACAGTAAGTAAAAAAAAAAAAGATGAAACTAAACAAGATTTCAAGTAAAATTCATGTAGATGAAAAAAAAAAGATGATTGAAGACACGTGATATAGATTACAGTGACAATCAGTGGCAATGAGAGAAATGATTGATTTGATGTGAGTGTCGATGTCTCCTGGACCGGATGGAAAAGTTGAAAGTGTTTTTCCTACTGTGTGTGTGTCAACAAACTCTTCATCTGATTGGCTTATGCTGATATTTTAATTGTAAGAATTTATACAGTAATAGTAGATAGAACACACTTCTGTTCACGCTGCCCTTTAATCATTTCTGGTTCACATTCAGAAGGGGAACGTGTGTGCGTTGACTTTGCACGATTGTTTCTATGGAATAGAGTTTTGTTTTTTTCATTTGTACCTTTTGTTTTTTGGTTATTGTTAAGATGCAGATTTTTGGATGAACTAATGTTATTCATATCAGTTGGTAAACAATGGGTAAAATGCAGGAACCTAGTCACAAACACAGACAGGAGGGGAAGAGCAACAGGAGAGTCTCCACAGACCTCTGTCCATATCCAGTAATACCTGAGCATCACTTTACATCCACAGCCTCACTCTCATCTATAATGAACCAGTGTGACCACAGCAGGGTAAGATGAAGAGGCCAGAGAGGCTGGGACACAATATCAGCTTAAACTTTTGTGACATGATCAAGATGTAAATACAATGGCCAGTTACACGAAAAACATTTTTGAGTGAAATCTGTAAAAATAAAAAAAAACTACTATAACTTATTAATAATTAGGAGATGCAAGTAATAAGGTACAAAGTACAGTAACTAATTATTCGCGTAAAAGAAATCTTATCTGGGTTGTACACCAGAATGAGGACATCACTGTTCCCAAACAAGAGGCTTTCTGGACCATTCCCATTGAGTTCTATCATATTTTTAAAATGTTATCACATGTCTTTAATCGTGGAGGCCAGTGATGGCTGCTCTGTGGAACAATGCAGTGGTTGTATGAAAAGGAGGCGCAGGAGTTGCATCATTAAAGATGCCTTTAAAGGACGTTTGGAGAGGCCAATAAAGTCAGCAATGGACCAATACTTTCAAGTGGAGGTTACTTTAAAATCTTATTTTTCTAAATATCTTTATTATTGTGATCTAATGACAGTAGAGAGATTAATTTCAAATTGGTTTTTTTTCTGTTGCATTTTTAATTGGATGGAATTCTAAATAGCAAATATTTATGTCAGTTTTTATTATTTTTTTGCTAACAAAACAGAGTACAAATTAAAGAAAAACAACAAAAACCACTGCTATCACCATCAATGAGACACAACAGGACAACAAGCATGCATGAGAGAGAGTTACAGTTATATATATACACAGTTACAAAATAGAATCAAATGAATTTCCAACCATGTTCCAGCTTCACAAAGAGTGACAGATAAAATAACAACTCTAAGACAGAAGTTTAGGACAAGAAACATGATTGACCCCCAGACGGGACTTTGGATAATAAAATATTTTTATTTTCTTTATGTTCAACCTTGCACAAAAGCATAACTCTACTGTTTGTTTTGTTTGTGTGCGTCAGCTACAAGAAGACATCGGAAACGTTGTCCACGGCAGGACAGAGGACATCAACCGCCTTCAGCAACTTTGGTACAGCCATCAGCCGGAAGCTTGGAGACTTAAGGTACCTCATCTGTCAACTGCCTTTTAATGTCAGCTGTCTCCCTGTGTTGGTGAATGCCAATGTTCAGTAGAAGTGGAGGTGGGTGCATATGATAAACTCTGAGTGAGCTTATTTTTATTTTTTTTTTAAAATTTAAATTCAGTTTTTTTCTTCCATATGTAAAAAAAAAAAATTAAATTCAGTTTTTTTCTTCCATATGTTTTTCACTTTTCTTATGTTTTCCAAGAGGAGCACAGGGAGGTCAGAGGGCTGGGGTTGCCTAGATATTCATAGTACTGTATACTTACTTTTCTTTTTTCTCAGAAGGACACTGTTTGTTTCCTTCAGTCACTTTTTCCCTCTTGTTTTCCATGGATGACGCTGAGTTTCACTGTCTATGGCAGAGCCAGTGAAAACGTCAGCTTCAGGGCACACGTGTCTCTATTGTTTGTGTGAAGTATAAAGAGTGACTGTGTGTACGACAACAAGAGAAACCTTCAGGATGTGGAGCCTGGTTCTGTTAAATCACTAGATCTTTTTAGCATAAACAAAATGTTATTGATATTTAAACATAGAAAGATTATGATGGTCAGCCCAAAGTTAAATTGTTCAAATCAAACTCGATTGACTCAAACAAACGTATTATTACAAGTGTATTATCTTTGGTGTTTTCCAGCATGGTTGGTTTAGAGTTACTGTTCCCCCGGAGGTATGTTTATGTGCATGTGTGTGTGAATAAACAGCATGTTTGAACTTCCTGCAGTGATTTGGGATTTGCTGTGTGTTTGCAGCATCCTGCATTCATATCTGGACATAATAATCCTGGTAGTGATTTAACTTCATTAGAACACAGTGCATCATAGTAATATATATATATATATGAAAGTCAAAGTTAAGAAGGCAGCAGTGACGTACACTTTGGGGAAAATGTCTCAGTGTTTTTATATATTCTGAAGTATTCTGTAAATACAAGTATGAATTGTGTTTTCCTGTTTGCAGTGTTTTTGTCTTTAGTCCTTCTGTGGTACCATAGTGGTGTTGACTTTATCCATGTCACAGCTTCTGAAGTCATCTTTAAATGTTCTTTTCCATCTTTTTCCATGCTTCACAAGGTCACAGTCTATAGGGTAAGGATTTCCACGGTGAATGCTGTCGTTTCTCTACAGCCCGGTGATACTGTGTGGAGCACAGGTTTAGCACAGACAGAGACCTAATTGGTTTTAAAACAGTCAGCTGAGTCCCACACCCTCAGTCCACTTATTTAGACGCCAGTTTTAGCACAGACAGAGACCTAATTGGTTTTGAACTCTGATAATCCAAAACCTACTTTGTTGGAGATTGTTAAACAATGCTACATTAAAGGCATTTGTTTATGGCAGTGAAGACAGGGATATTAAATGAGAAAAGCTGTATTTGGGGTTTTATTTTACAGAACATGTTACGTCAGTTTGTCTCTAGATCTTCTACAGTTTATTCTGATTCTTAGATGCTGCCATCAGACACTACCTCATGTTTATGGCTGTGTGCACATGTAGTTGCAAATAATGTATTAATAATGAACCACTCTCTCACCATGCCTACTGGAAACAGCTACACTATGAGAAGCTCAATGAGCATGCCTGCCATGAGGTAACACCGAGTTTTCAATTAGCTTTGTGTCTATGTTTTAATTATTTATTCATTTTTATTATTTTAATGTTGTGATGTTTTCAACTCTAAATGAAGGGGGAAAAATGTTCAAATTTTTTGTTGCAATGTTTGTTTATTTTCATGACACGAGAAGATTCGAAGAAAAGAAAAAAAACTTTTGGATGCTCATCTGCTAATATGAGCATGTTTTTTTTTAATCTGTGATGTGTTAACAGTTAATGAACAGTTAATCCACGCCCTCGATATTTTATTAAAGTAACCTAGTTGAAGTTATAATCTTTAAACTTTCCATTCCTGGTGTCTTTACAGAAACTCTTCCAGCTTCAAGTCCTTTGAAGAAAAGGTTGAAAACACTGTGTCCACTATCAAGGTAAAGAAGTGTGTGTGTGTGTGTGTGTGTTATTTGAGAGGCATCTGTTTGCAGAAACCCTTTGCCCTTATAGGGACAATTTGTGGGGTCCCACTGAACAAGAGGGTATGTTGAGGTTCATGATTTAGTTTGGAGTTATGGTTTGAATTTGGATCAGATTACAGCCAGGTTTAAGGATTAAGATGAGGTAAAAATGTCAGTAGTTAAGGTTCCGCTCTGTGGCCAGGCTGGAGAATGCATAATGTCTATGTGAAGCGCTCACAAGACACAAAACCAGCCTGTGTTTAAGAGAGAGAGAGAGAAAGAGGAAACAGACAGAATATTTGGCAACACTTACTGTTGACAAATCAAACGTTCAAATCAAGGTTTTGTTGCAGAACAATGACTTCATGTTTCGCAGAAACTCTGGAGAAAGCTAACTTAGCAAATTCAAGTTATACCTGCTGGATCAGTTCAGTGTATCCCTAAGTAATGTTGTCAGAAATCATGAGAATCACAAGGAAAAAAATCCAACAAGGAAAATGATACTACGTAAATGAAAATGAAAAGCTTCTGTCAACACCTTTAATCAAGTAAAGCAACATTTTCTTTAACATTCTTCAAATGCCTCGGGTAAGATGTTTAAAATTGGATTTTCAAAGAAGAAAAAAAACATTAAAACAGTTGAAAATACTGTTACAATGTTAAGATTTGAATTGGTTATAATGGGAATCAAGAAAGGACAGAATTCCTGCGTTCTTATTCACACTCCTCCCTAAATCCTTAAGGTTTCACTCTTTGCTAAGTTCCTCCCCCTTCTGTCCTATTCGCAGAATAGCAGTGAAGCTACTCTAAAGAAACAGGGATGTTAATTACAACTTTATTCAAGTATTTTATCTGGATATTATTTAATTTTCTTTCTACTATTTTTTTATTTTTTACAAGACAAAAGTCGGTGGCACAGGCAGCGGCAGCAGCTTTGAAGAAGTCCTCTCGTCCGCCGCTAACGCCAGCTCACAAGACACGCCCACTAACAACTTAACGGACGTTTCCGAGAGTCCACGTTAGAGATGTTTCCAGATGAGGAGCAACTCTTTGCTGCATCACAGCGTTTTGTAGAATATGTACATCTAATAAAAGCTCTGACCTAAATAATATTACAGAATACTTACACATACTTAAAAAAAAAAAATTCAGTCACTTATCCAAACCACAGCATCAAAGTGTCGTCCTGGGTGAAGACAGGTTTTAGAAAATCAAGCTAAATATCAGATGGTGGAGAAAATATATTGAAGTGACTTGGAATGTGACAAATGTACTGGTGACAGTGAGTATCAGTTCTCAACAGACTCAGTTACGACCCTATGACCTCTACTGTCCATTTGAAGAGATTAATGCAAATGCTAACCTTTGTGATCTAGGGCTGCAGCTGAGATGTAATTACACTGTTGTTAGTACACGTGATAGGTTAAGAAGTTCATACTGCGTTTCTCACTACTGTGAATTAATAATTTTACGTGTTAAAACTTGATGCTGGATAAAAAAACAACTGTACCGATGGCACACAGTGAAACATTCTGATATTTCCACACAAGGATTAAAAAACCAGCGTCAGACTACACTTCTCATCACTATGCAACTGTGCATAAACAAGCTGTAAGACAATCCTTGACTGTCAAGTGAGACTGAAACTGGAAACCTTCTGTGACTCCACGAGCTCAGGTGTGAATTTTGACTTACTTTTGCAGAATTAACCAAATTAACGCTGTTAAAGATTCTTATGATTTTTTTTTGTTTGTTTTTTTTGCCGTGAAACCATTGTAACCACCAAAGATACAAGAGGCTCAATTTTGTTTGTGTTGTATTTTTGTTTATTTTTTATATATATACGTTTTCTCCATTCAGTAGAAAGTTTTTAAAGTTTTAAATTTCTATTTGTTTTACTATCCATTCAGTAGAAAGTTTTAAATTTCTATTTGTTTTACTCAGACTTATCCATAAAGTTTTTTGTTTTTTTTAATATTAAACCTTAAAAAGCTGGAATTTTGTTGCACGAAATGGTTGTTACGTGCATAATGTTAACAACAAAGATAACAGTGGGGTTAAAAACACAGAATTTGTAATACATTTGTACATCGTTGATTTGTCAGGTGCTCAGCTATAAATCAATAAATATCTGGAGAATTTGTTGTTTGTTGGTTCTTATCACTGTGCTGCCACATGCTGTTTGGTTTTTATACATCACTAATTGTTGCCAAAAATGTAACAATTGAGGGTTGGTTTTTTTTATTAAACAGCACAAACTTACAAACCAGTCAGATCACTTTGATTTTTAGCCTCTTTCATTCTTTGACCCTTAATTCTTTGCCACTTTGTGGCTAAATTTGTACTAAAGTGTTAAGTTTATTTTACATCTACATCTAGTGTCAGAAAAAAGCCAGGTCAAACAGTAAATCTACTTTTTAATATTGTAATTATTAAAATATTTAATATTATATTTGTTGGTTTATGCAACTGTTGACAGATCCAAAAAACAAAACAAAAAAAGAAAAAATATGCTGCATTTTCCCTGGGACCTCTCCCCCACCCCTATACAAATCATCGTGGAGCCTCAATATGGTGCATAAGGTATAAGGTGCATTTGCTGCAATTTTTCTTACATTATGATGGACGCAAGTTAGCCAACTTTGTCACATTCTCTGGCCACTAGGTGGAGGTTTACTGACTGGTCTGGAACCAGAACGGTGCGGCAGATACACTTCAACTCTCCCATTGTCGGGTCTGGTTTGATTTCAAAAAGTCGGATGAGCTGAGAAAATAAAAGATCAAATTACTCACTGAAGCCACGTGACACTGAACCTAAACTGAACGTTGATGTCACAGTTTTCAACTGAGATTCACATTTCTGGAAAACACTGTTCTGTCATTGCACAAATGAGTTTTTTTCCCCTGTAATCAGCTTCTACTGATGTCACCCACACTGCTGAGCTCTGATCAGGCAGTTCATCCATTACACCTGTGTTCACCTTCAGCTGAGAGTCATCAGCCTGGCTGGGAGGTTATATAAGGAGCATGTGCTTCAGGGCTCAGTTGGCTGTTGACATGGAAGAGGGAACATGTTGTTGTGGGGCTGAGGAGGGGTTTTTTTTGTGTGTGTGTGTGGTTTGTTTGTTTTTTTGTTGTTGTTGTTCTTTTGGGCTTTTTGTGTGGTTTGGTGTTTTTTCTGTAGAAGTCATGAATTTTTGAAGTCATTTTTGTGTTTAGTGTGACCTCATATGTTAGTCGTTTCTCATGTTGCAACCCTCGTCCTGCTGATTGTCATTATAGGGTAACGTCAAATCGAACGATAAAGTGAAAGTTCTGTCTTATTGTCATTAATATTTAAACTGCAAACAAAACACAAATGCAGGGCAATACATTTGCCAGTTGTACGACGTATTTCTTCGAAACGTTTTTCCCTTCATTATGGCTCACAGTCGGAAGTCTGACTCTTCTGATGGCAGTGATTCCAAGAATCCTAATTGGAAGTGAGATTAGTTCTTTGGAAAAAGATGAAACACCAAACACCACCCAGTGCTTGGCCAACAGGCTAACATGTTCTGTTTCCTTTGTTTGTGATATGTATGTAATATGTTAAGTTCCGACTTAAGGTGAAAATCGAGTTACGTCACACCTCAGGAACGGAAGTCCGACTCGAGGACCCCCTTGTAATATTGTCGTCCTGAACATGCCAACGTCGTAGTGAATTTTAAACACTATTTTGAGTGGGTTTTAAACGTTCAAACGAGGATCTGGGGACATTTGTTTGTATATTTTATGGTGATGGCTCGAGCTGATACTGAAGAAAGCAACTACAGTCTGATTCGATCTGATACCTGAGATTACCTTAGTGATGTTGATGTCGATGTTAGCTAACGACACAACAATAAGCACTCTGATTGGAATGCTTTGTGTTGTTGAATCTTCAGCCGACAGCTGCTTGTGCACTTCATTTAAATAGGGGGTTTTGTTCATTTAAACTGGCATGGAACCAGCATTAATAAGCGTTAGATGACCCATCTATAGCTGTATAATAATGTACACAGACATGTACGTCTGGCTCAATGTGGTTTAAATGAGAACAATTTAAATATTTCTTCATATTTAACTACATTTAATTGATGGATTTTGTACCCTGGGGCTGTGTAATACATTTGTATTAGCTAAATACACTTTTTTTTTATTGTCATTTACCTGGCAGAGAAGCATGTACATCTCCAGCTCAGCGATCCTTCGACCAACACAACCCCTCACTCCAAAGCCAAATGGAATGGAGCCAAATGCATTTGGCAACTTGTGTCCATCACGGAGCCATCTCTCTGGTTTAAACTGGAATGGTTCTGGAAAAGTATCTTCATCGTGACTGATGGCATAGTGACACAGTATAAAAGGCGTCTGGGGGACAAAAAAATAAATAAAAACAAATCAAAAACCAAAAGATACTTCACAACGAATGAATCACATGTCTGTAAAAAGCACTTTTGAAATGCCCACATTTTTGGAAAATTGATATCCGCCAACGGTGACGTTCTTCGACAGGATCCTTGCATTCATAGGAACAACAGGATACATCCTGCAAAATAAAATTAGGGTTTTTTTATACTTTCAAATAGTTGTTTAAAATTTGGTGTATATTATAAACGTGTAATAGATATTTCCATTGGGTTGTGGTTGGCATTTTTTGGTTGGCATTCTCAGCATGTAATACTTGACCCACCTTACTACTGTCTTTACTATTACTGTTTTACTATTATTATTCTTGAGAACTTTCTGAAAACTTAATATCGTATCTTAGCTCTAAGCTAACAACCTGCGTGTCCTACCTGAGCGTCTCCTTTACAACTGCTCTCAGGTAGGGCATCTGGGAGACAGCAGCAGCAGAGGGGGTTTGATCTGCTCGTACAAATGTGGAAACTTCATTGTAGAGTCTGTCCTGGGCTCGGGGATTCCTGGAGAGCAGGTGTAAAGCCCATGTGAGTGTATTGGACGTCTGAAAAACCAAGAAACACTCATGAAAAAGAGCAAATTGATGCATATCTCATTATATTTTAATTCAGGGGACATTGACTACGGAGTCCAACCCGGTACCAAACTGTGGGTCCTTTGCTTCTATAATTGCTTTATTAAAATGATGTCTTTTTTACTTGATTGAACATTTATGGGCAACAAATCCTGGGTTAGGTCATTCAGTATCACACTTGCCGTGTCTACTCCAGCCAGAAGGAGCTCAGCGACGCTGCCGTAAACATCCTTCATGCTCATCTGTGTGTTTGACAGGAGGTACGTTAGGTATTCACCCTCAACATTCTGGCCACGTTTTACACGCTGCTGGATGTCCTCCATCTTCTTATCAATTAACTCCCTGGCTGAAGATAAACATAGAACTGGGTTTAGTATTCACTATGTTATAGCTTTGTGCATCTGTGGGATTTTTATGTTTTTTTTGTTTGTTTGTTTGTTTTTTGTTGTTGTTGTTGTTGCAAAAGATCACTGATTTTATATGATCCATGGAAGGCGTTATAGTGTTTTTTTGACTGAGTTACAAAATTAGACTAATATGGTTTCACACATCCCATCTTTAGCACCTCCTGCTGGTAAGCGAGATAACTACAGTACCTTCTGTGTGAAGTAAAACTTTGTGTTCTCGTGTTCATTCAGCATGCAGAATAATCGATTTATAATCCTGTATGTAATAATAATAATAATAATAATCAGTCAGTGGGTCAGTGGGTGAGTTGGTGCTTTAGACCTGGTGCCAGTGTCTCATCTCTTGGTCCAGCTCACCAAAGTCAAAGATTCCCTCCCAGCCTCCTATGTAACGATGGTAGTAGGGCAGCATGTGGCGACTCCACTTGGGCGTCATCATGACAGGCACGCTGTTTGTGAACATCTGACCTATGGCATTGATGAAGTCCTGTGTGCCTGCAGGGATTTTCTTCTGCAGACAGCCAAGCCTCGTCTCAAACAGAATGGACGCAATCCCTTCCATTGACAGAATTGACAAATTTAGGTTATTTTGTTAAATCCTCCACTCACACAACCTGATTCAGCCTCCTACTTACCCTCCAGTGAGAAGTGATAGAGCTCGTTGGCCAGGTTGGTCACCAGGTCTCCTGTGGGACTGCACTGGCGCAGATAGTCAACTCTCTTGATGAAGTCTGTGACCACTTCACTGATGGCACCGCTGTACTCTGCAGAGTCTTTGGGGTGCAGCATACGTTTGTTCAAAGTGGCCCTCAAGTTGTACCACTGTTCGCCCTCCCTACGGACAGAAACACAGATGTTGTGAGTCAATTGTTAGAATGTTTTGTTATCAGAAAAAAAAAATCGCACTTGTCCTTAAGAGCACAGATAACTGGTCTAAAAGTGAATCAATGGGCCCCATCGCATGGTTTTGACTTGACTTGAGTGGTTAACTAAAGTCCACAGTCTTACACTGTGAACGGTCCGTAGCCGAGTCCCTTCATGTCACGATAGTCCTTCCACAGAGACATGTCTCCTCGACAGGGGAACTTGTCGTCATTCCTCAGGAGCTCCTCCAGCAGCTGTGGTGTGTTCACAGACACTGACTTCAGTCCATCTCTGTAGATGGGACCATATCTCTGCTTCTCATAGATCTGATGGGAGCAAAACTGAGAGTTGGATGGAGCATCATGACAAAACTCAGTTGCATAAAAATGTTGTTAAATAATTAGTAAACACAGTAATTCCTGTGGCTTGTTTTTATTATAATTACTATTATAACAGCCCTATTCCTACAGCCAGAAAGTGAATCATATGAGTTTTATTGTCCCAGTTCAACTGCTAGCAGTTTCTAATAGATAGCTTTACGAAAAGAAACACAATCCTGGTCTCTGTGGGTTATTAGGCAGTGAGGTCACAGTGGAAACAGAGGTAATTCAGCTGTTCTGACATTGTCCATTGTGCAAAGTGGCTAGAGTCAGTGAGGAAAAAAAATCCCCAAAGAATTTCTGGAATGCAGAAACATCAACATTTAGTCCAGTAGCTGGATGAGGCTGACCTACCTGTAACTCATGTAAACGCTTGTAAAACCCCTGGCACACTACTCTGTAGATCATCTCCAAAGAGCTGACATGGGGCAGGTCCTTTAGTGTCCTGGGCTTGGACTGGAAACTGGTGAAGTCCTGGGTGGCAGAAGACGTGCTCCCCCATACTCTGCAGTCAACCCGGGTCAGTGCAGCAGTGCTTGGCAGCAGCCAACTGCTGCTTCTTTTCATGAGACACTGAGACAGTCCTGAAGACATGGTGAGGGGTAGAAGAGAAATTCACGGGGCTCAAGTGACATCCACAGAGCAGCCAGGCAGGGAGGAGCCGTGTCTCACACAAGGTTTAACCCTTCGCCTCTCTCAAGTTTCCACCAGAACATTGAGGAAAAAGGATCATTACTCTCCTCTTTGTACAGAGTGTGATTATATCTGGTTCCTGGGTAACTGCACAAACACACCGATTATATAACCCCTGACCACGATCGTCTTTATGTAGGCTGTTTTCCTGAAGTGTGCTCTATGGATTAGAAAGCATCACTCTTTCTTTTCATTGTGTTTGGTTCCTTGTACAAACTCCATTTAGGTACTTTTGAAAAATATATGACTAGTGGTTATAAATGAGGAAATGTGTTTATTTTGTAAACCTTCGTTTTCTTTTTGGCTACCTTTTTTGTAACAAATGACTATATTTAAGCACCTACATTTAAGCATTTTTCAATGGAATTCAAATGGAACTGTTTTATTTAGGAATGAAATTTACCATTGATTCACACACATCACAATCTGTGAGCAGTTTTTAAAAAATACAGTGAAGTCATGTTTGACATATTTTTCTTTATTCAATAACTCTTCATCATCCTTTTATCAATGCAACATCATCAATAGAACCAGCCGGGTCTGCTTTGTGCAGCAGAAAGTGTCCTTGCACCTGAGCGGCACTGATCTCAACATTAGCTTCTAATGCAAGCTTTGCAAACCGCTCTCCTTCAGACACAGGCTGGTCTGGGTAGAACCGGCGGAACATATGAGCCAGCTGCCAGTGTGTGCAGTGCCCGATGAACTGCTTCAGGTCCACTCGTCCAGGTCTGATCAGTGCTGGGTCTAATCTGTGAGCACAAAACATCCACATTGTCAATGTAAAAAATTGAACTGATAAATGAATGGTGCCTAGAAAAAATATTTTAAAAACTCACACGTAGCTAATTGTTTGGGAAAGCACAACAAATGGCACAGAGTTATAAAAATATGTACACAGTAAGCAAGGTATTCGTTTCAAGACTAAAAGACACTTTTAAACTGATGTGTAAAGGACTAAATTATCGGTCACTGAACTATGACATGGATCAGCTAGTTTGTATCCTAACTTGGTCTTTGCTTGTGAATGAGTTGCGTGACTATCCCAACATCATTACAAACAGTGTTTATTCTACAGTGCTGAAGAGATATCTAACTCTGTTTAGTTATCATTTCAAACATGATTAACTTGAAGTACTTTTTAAAGCACTGAAAAAATGCATGTTTTTGAGGAACAAGTCACTGCTGGTAAATATTAATCTATGGGTAAAACATTTACCGGATATGTTGAGTCATCCCCAGAGATGTTTTGTGATGTGTTGTCCTGTTTGTGTTATTTATATTGTAAATAATTTTATAATTATAGTATAATCAGAGTCTAAAGACTGTACCTATCAATATAGTTGGTGGTCATAAAAACTATTCTGGCTTCAGATGAAGCCACACCATCCAAAGCATTGAGCAAACCACTGAAGGTCAGTCTTCCCATTCCCTGATAGGCCATCGGATCTGTGGGGGGCGGAGAATGAGGGGGATTAACAACATCTCCCAAATAATATAGAGGATAGTACGTCATCTAACCATTAACACTCCATCACTTCTACTCACTCTCTGTGGGGAGCAGCTCTCGACTGACGAATGCCGCATCCACGTCCTCCAGCAGGATGATGCTCTGCTGTGGGGCTACACTCAGCAGGTGGTTCAGACGGTCGTCAGAGAGACTACGGTCACTCAGACTCATCAGACAGATGCTGTAGCCCAGCTCACCGGCCAGTGCTGTGCTAAAAATATATAAAAAAGAGGACACTGAATGTAAAACCAGAGTTTTCATTAAAAGTTAAGCCCTGTTTTTAAAATGTGGAATATTGCAGAAATCATACTGCTCAGTGTGTTGGGCAAAAATCACCTTCCAGACTTATTTCCTCTACTCTGACTTTTATTCCATCTGGTAGAAGCAGTAATAGGAGTGTGTGTTTCAGCTGCAGTGTAGCCTGCTATTGCATATTAGATTTATTACAGACTGACTGCACATAAGAAAAATGTCTACAAAGTACTGAAACCAGACTGAAGGTTTTTTGAACAGCAAAGAAAAAAGAAACATTTTTTAAACTCACATGAAGCTACTCTTTCCACATCCTGGGGGTCCATACAGCAGATATCCTCTTCTGTAGGGTATACCTGCACACACAGGAATTGTTCCAATCTTTGAGTGCTAATACAGTATATAAACACACACACAGACATTTTTTCATAAATAATTTTATTTTCGACTCAATATCTTGTTTATTTGAGATAATTCGCAGCATTTAAAATTTAAGTAAGGGCGTGTGTGTGTGTATTACCTCTGTCTGTGTACCACTTGGGGTTTCCGATGAAGTCCTTCACATCATCTACAATCCTCTCCCCTACCCCGGACTCCAGGACCACAGAGCTGAGGGGTCTGCGTCTCCGTGGAAACCCAAAGGGTCTCCATTCTGCACCCATCGCCGTGTACATGACTGTTCTCCCCTCTTCTTGCTTCAGGGCTAATTCTCTAGCTGCAAAATACAACAGTCGGCTGCTGTGACTGATTCATACAAGGTTATGTATGCATAACAACATTCAAAAGAAACATTACCTTCTTGTAAGATGTTAAAGAAGATTTGTCTGTCTCTGCCTAAGGCAGTGAAAGTCACAGACTCCCAAGGCGTTCCTGTGTGCAGATCCACCATTTGTTTCTCTCTGGTCCTCTCCACTCTGATCCACTTCCTCCCATACCTGCACAACAACAGATGAAAGATAGTGGTACAACATAGTAGTACTGGGTAGAGATTACAAAATGCACTGTCCCAACCAAAAAGGCAAAACCAACTTGCTTTAAAATGATGTTGTGACATTGTAAACCTGTATATTATATAGAACTTTTAAAATAAGAAAAGGTGGTGCCTTCTGACCATATGATGTGGTTTCCAGGGCTAGGGTGGAAGTCAAACTGTGTATGCACTCTTCCACTCTCATGTGCCAAGTAAGAGGTCTCCACACTCAGGTGCTGTGTGTGTCTGGCGTGCTTGGTGATCCAGCTCAGCAGCCAATGATAGCTCTTATCCCTGCTCGGGACCTCCAGAGTGATCATGTAGTTTCTGCGGAAGAAGATCATCCCCACCTGCAGACCTTTCCTGCCGACTGCCAGTGCTGTTCCAACTCCAACCAGTCCAAAACCTGCCCCAAAGTATGGGTTGTCCTTCAAGCTGTCCAGAAAGTCTGACAGGGGCATGTTGCTTGACGTGTATTTGAAAAACAAAAATCCGTCTCTATTTATCCGATTAGGCTCTATCGGCTGAACAGAAGTCCATTAGAAGCACACACGTTCTGTGAGACCGTCCAGCGTGAGACAGGTTTAATAGACCGTTATTTGTCCAAGCCTAGAGTCCTGCAGCAACCTGGACCTTCAGAAAGCAGTTGCTCGTTTTGTATTTATGACGTAATGTTAATACGTTAACATGTTATTGCGAGATTCAGCTTCATTTTTCGTACCTAATTAATAACATTGTAGTTTGTCTAGAGAGGCCAGTTTGTCTAAACATGTCTGTAATTTATCAACATTCTAAGCCAATGTGTGGAAACGAGTCCGTCTGTTATTTAGCTCCGTAAGGCGACCTCTACGTTACATCCGGTGTACAGTATAGATATCAATCCGACTATTCACATGAGTAGAGGCATATAGTTCCTCTTCTCCTGTAAACACGTATCATATTTGAAAATACATTGGTGAAAGCTTCTGCAAAATATGAAATTAATAAGTGGAACATTTTGTGAAACTTTGCCTCAAGTGCAAACGCAACTACATAAAAATGTTTTTTTTAATTGACTACGTTTAAAAGGGAAAAAGTGAGGTTAGTAAATTCACATACATACATATTCTCAACGAATAAAGGGTACTAAATCCTATTATTTAGGCGTACTTATAGTACTTAAATCCAATTTTTTGAATTGACAAATTAAATAGATGCAATACAGTAATAACTATTTGCCACAATGTAAACTTTGGTCTTCTTTACGTCTGTTACGTTGTTCAATAACAAAAATATAAATTAATTTATATGTTGGAAGAATGATAAAGATTACTTTTATAAATTCTTTATTTAACAGCAGCAACAACAGGTGGTGAATGATACAGCCATTAGAAAAGACACTGAACCTAATCAAGTTTTATGTAACATAAACCAAACCAAACAACTTAAAACATTTACATACAGTATATCCAACAAGCCCACTTGCAGCCATGAAAAACAAAAGAAAATTATTTATTATATACATCTGTTTATGTATAATGTTCATCTTTCCTAAGAACTGAAGAATAAAATGAATACGTTATTTTAAAGGTTGTCGTTGGTATTTTAAAGGTTGTAAACAAAATGTATGTATATGAGGTAACGAGAGGCTGTGATTGAACAGTGGACAAAATATCCAAAATGACAAAAACAGTGTTAAACTGTCAACTATAAAAGTAAATGTTAATTTTAAAAAATTAAACATAGTTTCCAATCTCCAGTCAACTAAGAAGTCATGTGACCCAGTTGTGCATACTTATAATAAGTATTTTTGTCCATGCTCTAGGCTGGAGTTTGTTTTTATCATGTAGTTATTCAGGCTTAATACCCTCAGTCTTTAAACTGCCAGTTATTCTTTGCCATCACTTTTTTCCAAGTGATGCCCTCTTTCCTCATTTAACACACTGACAAACTGAAGCACATCTGGATGATGGAAACGTCCTGAAAATGAATGAAAATATGACAATTACTAATTCATACAACATATTAAATTGTAAAGTTTGTACAAAAATACTGTTAAATATTTAGATGCATGTACACATAATTCAAATAAAATATTAATCTGAACCTGAATCACCCCAGTCTCTTGCTAAGTTCTGGTTGTAATATGTGAGATATATACAACATTACCATTGGTAGAATCAAAGAATTCCTGAAGTCCTCCAGGTTTCTTCTCCAACTCTTCATACTCGTGAGCCTGTAGTATCATTTCAAGGAGGTCAAACTGTTTCACCAGCTTGGCCTCTGCACTGCTCTGATTTTCATATTCCTGCAGAGGAAGAGTGTCCACTTCATGAAAATATAATGAACTGAGGAGCTCATTAATTATTCTAGGGCTACAGTAACAACTTACCTCCCAGAGTCCATATATTTCCTGTCTTAGCCCCTCTGGTAAAAGACCTGATAGATGTGTCATTGCTTCCTAAAGAAAATTCAAATCATACATTTAATTTAATGATCTTGACATTAGATGGAGTTGCAGTTGCTTCAAAGAATTAGAATAATACTATTACAGAATAATCATAAAAAATACTGGGTTATATAAGTCAGCCCATATAAAAATAAATCACAACAGGAAATAAACACAGTAACATCAACATTTTGAACTCAATTTACTTCAAAGTGTGAAAAATGGTGCAATATTAATCTCCTACCTCTTCTCGTCTGTGTTTCTCTTCTTTACTAATATTATCTGCTGGAGCAATGTCTCCCACAATACACTCTGCCATATCATGCACCAATGCCAACTTCAGGCACCTGTGAGAGCATTATCAGAGCATTAGATGTTAGGGTTTCCATCCATTGAAGATGCATCAGCAGCAACTGATGATGTTGTGTGAGCTCACCTGTCCTTGTCCACATTGGGGTCAGTGATGGTCAGAGACATCATGGCCATGCGATACATGTGGTCTGAGACACTCTCTGGGTTCTTTACATTTCTATATACCCAACCAGTCCGTGGAACCCTCTATCGAAAAATAATATGGCCAACGCACAGAAAGTGTCAGACGAAATCTTCGAGTGGTCAAATTATCCATGTCAGTTACGCTTATTTGTGTTTTATGTAACTATGTTATGTGGTCAATTATTAATAAGTCGTCAAAGAGCTGACCTGACCCTTTGACCCTCACGTTTACAAGGGTGGGATATAATTATACCTGGATATTTTTCTCCCAATAGAATATATAATAAACCAAACTTGAAATACCGTAACAATCTCATTATAAACTGTGCATGTTTTGAGGGACACCCTACTGAAGACAAAAAAGTAGTAATGATAGATGAATAGAGTACTATTTAATGCGATGTTCTCACTAGAACAGCTGGGTAGAAGTGTGTTTTGTCAACATCGGTGTCGTGCCTATATCGTACTACATTCAGAAAATCAAACTTAAATAATTGCCGATAATAAATATTCCCTTAGGATTACATAAGCATATTGCACTCTCAGTTAAAAAAAACAATTCTTACTTTAAGCTGTCCAATAAATTTCATAAATTTCAGTAAGTTGCTCATGCCTGCTGCTGTCTCCACGGTGTCCGCCATTACTATGTTAATGCAATTACTTAGTGTGGCCGCTTGGTGTCAGCAAGGGGAATGGGTCGCGTCATAAACAGATGACCTATCATCGACTTTAAAACCTTTAAATTCAAATTCAAATTCAAATTCAAATACAGTCATGTATTGTAAAACAGCATAGAGTGGGAGGAAATTGAGATATAAGACGATAAGACATATGATAAGTATTCCTGCAATTGTGAGGGCAAAGACACGAAGAAGAAAGCACTGCCCGGAAGTAGGCAAAGCGGGATTTTTGAAAAACATAACCTAACTCGTCTGCCGAGTGGACTCTAAAAGAGACCTCAAAATGATAAAGAAGGCGCCTAAGCTGAAATATATTATAAAAAGGAAAGCAAAGAGCCAAATTAACGTGAGGCCAACGTCGGAAGCGATGGTGAGACGTCGATTACATGGTTTGTTTTGTGTATTTCGCCTGTCAACACAATTTGCCTTAGAAAGAAACGTGTCTTTTTTTCGGTTGTCCTCAGATCGAACTGCTAACGTTGATGTTTATAAAAAGCCTGGCAGAGGAGGCAAAGAGTAACGCATTTGAAGAAAAGTCTGCAACGATCAGAGCTCGCAACTTGAAAGCAGTTGCTAAGGTTAGTTGTAAACCATTCTCGATCACTTGTGGTTCACACAGATGCATCCAAAGCAAGCGTTAGGTCAATCTGAAATTGGTTTCCCATTTAATCTGCGGTGTACATTGTCATATTACAGTCAGATTGTGATCAATCCTTAATAACTTTACGATAAGCTGCTGGGTATGTCGCCATGTTCCAATCTATGTGTGTGTGTGTGTGTATATATATATATGTATATATATATATACACACACACATATATATATATATATACACACATATATATATATATACACACACATATATATATATATATATACACACACATATATATATATATACACACATATATATATATATACACACATATATATATATATACACACACATATATATATATATACACACATATATATATATATATACACACATATATATATATATATATACACACACACACACACACACATATACATATGAAACACCCTGTGCATTTTGACAAAATTAATCATCAATGACACTTGTCATCTGCCATATTGTGTGATTCTTTTTGCAGAAATCATACATGAGGAATATATTTTTTTTAGTAGAGGACCATGTAACAACTACACAATGCAAAGTATGAGTTTTGATCTTGTTCATCATACTTCATCACTCAGTCAGGATTATTTTGCACTCAAAGTAAACTCTAAATAATATCTGCAGTGATGTCTGCACAAAGAAAGAAGGGTTGTTTATGTTATTTTACTCAAGGATCATTGATAAACATTTAGATTAGCTTATAATATAATAATATAATATTCAAAACAAAAGAACTATATATATATATATATATATTTTTAGGCATTTTAGCTCAGTACGTATTTCACTACTTACATTGACATGCATGTGTTTGTTTGGCCTGGACCAGGAATCTTGAAAGATTTTTGAACCAATAACCTCCAAACTAATTAAGAAGTGGAGCAGGGACCACAGTTTCATATACAAGACAGTTGTATAAATGTCCCATTTTATTTTGCATTTAGTAATAAATTCTTATTTTTAAATGGAGAAAATGTTATTGAACCCCATGTTGAAAAAACGGAGCATCTGTTAAATCTGTACATAAAATAGTTTTGATGTTTTGATTGAGATAAAAGCTGATTTTATTTTTTTTCATAGAAAATGCTGAAAAAAGCAAGAGGCTGAAGACTGTTTTTTTTTTGGTGCAGTTTCAACAAGGGTGGCAATGGATGATGACAACAATGTTTTTGCTTTTTATTAACATCTTATTTGCACATTTTTAACACATTTTTTAGTGCTGTTATATCTTTAACAAATGTTCACTGTTTTATTGATGTCATTGTTTGTTTGATTTGAATAAAGACTGTTGTATTGTAAAAAAAAATGTTTTCTTGTCCACAATGTGGGTCAAAATACAGGAGATTCTTGAACTTTTTATCTCTCTCTCTCCTCCCTCTCTCTCTCCTCCTGACTTTGATCTGTCATGCTCCGTTGTAGACCCTTCTCACAGTGTGTGTGTTCAGCCTCCGTCCAAATTCCTCGCTTCATCGTGTAGATTATCTGCTTGCTCAGATGCTATCTTCTTCATTCCTTGACACTACATACTTCTTTGTGTGAGCGGTAAAAGGTGTTGAGGTGTAAGCTGCTCTTCCTTAAGTCATTATTTGCTCTGTTGTTTAAATTTGTAACCGTATCTACATCTTATATATAACATATTTATTAATGTAATAAGATTCTCCTACTGACTGAACTGATCCAACCACGCTATAACAACACGTTTCTGTAACAACAACATGCAGGAGATATAGCTTTAATTCCTGACTTTTAGTGTAAAACACCTACGACAGTAATTGACTTTATCTTCTGCTTGTTGTCATCACTGACTAACATTTGATATTCTCACTATTTTACTAGGCCCAACAAGACATTTCAAAGATTCAGGGTGTTTTGTTGGGTTTTTTTTTCTCCAAACGTGCCCCCCTGTGAGTGAAGCCTCTTCATGTTTATATTTCTTGCTATGTTTAAAGGATGTTGTTGGGTGTGCACAGCCTCCCCCCGTTGGCCTGTGAACCCCACTGCTTTTCAACATTCTCTTCACTTGCGGCTCCCAAAGTGGGGGGCGCCTACAGGGATGCAGGTTTTGCAGCTTTATCTAGGGGGCAAATCATTTATTTATAATTTTATATCCTGTATTCAACAAGAATATCACTTTTGTAGAAATGACAGTGTTTAAATACTGTAAATGTTCAGTGGAGCTATAGAGCAATAGCTTTGAATGCAAATTATTGTGGAGGGGCTCCACAGTTGTCCTGTCTTTAAAAAGGGGGCGCTGCAGAATACGTTTGGGAACTACTGATTTATAAATATATCTTGTATTTTCAATCTGAAATTTGTAGTAATTAGTAGTCAGAGGGATGAATGTCTTCACGACCATCAGGGGAAGCAGAAACGCATTATTTGCTGTAGAAATGTGGATGCTGTGCTGCATTTTTTCCCCACATCTTGAAACCAATGTTTGCTTTTGTTCTTTGGGACTGGGAAGAACTAAACGTCTTACTTCAACAAATCAAATAGTAAATCAGGCTTATACTGTCTTGAGTAGTTTGTGCGCATGTGCGAGCACCTGTTGACAATTTAGGCCAACTAGGGTATAGCCCTGTACGACTCCACTGTCTGGCAGTGTGCCTTATGTCTTACACAAATCAATCTTTAGGACAATCCTTTTGACATTTTTCCAAAAAAGCCAGGAGTAAAAGAACAAGATTGTCCATTTTGTCAGAGATGTTATTGACAGTGTACTGTTGCTATAGTAATAAGGGACAAATGGCTTTATGTTTGTTAACAAAAAATGTTGGCTTTTTAAAAAAAATAAAAATATTTAGTGAGCAAGGCATAGATCAGATAGTTGGACAAATAGATGAGAAAAGCTGATCCCAGTGAAAGCATGTGTGAGAGGATGCTGGAGAGTTCAAATCTGTTTTGGAGTAGTGGAGGGCGAACTGCAGAGTTCCCAAAACAGACGATATGCAGCCAAACTTTCATCACATTCCAGAGGTTTTGTGAGAACTGCCAGTCCTCCTTGACACCACCAGCTGTCTAGTTTTCTTTTCTTATCGTACCATAGTCAAATCACACAGAGGTTTAGGTTTTCACACCCTCAAACCTTGTCTTTATAGAAAACAGGCAGCATTCATTTTCTTTAGCTTAAGTCACCCTAGGTTACAAATGTTTGGGATGTGAAGGATTTTGGTGGTACACTATTTTGGGTTCATGCCACAATTCCAAATGTTGTAAATGAATTATGTTATGATATGTGTCAAAAAGATCATATTTTCACAAATTAATAAAATCTTACGATTCCCAGAGGTGTCACAAAAAAGTTCTAATGAATGAATGAATGACTGAATAATGAATTAAAGTACGATTAGAAACGCTTTTTTAATTAATTTTCCTGTCCATCTAAAACAAAGCAGAGAAGTGAACAGCATCTGAAGATATAATCGGCTCTGTGCAGAATATGATTGCCCTTTTTATATACAGTATGTATAGTTTTCACAGAGCTGATCCTTGCTCACACAGATTGAGCTTTGATAGGATTCCCTTCTGCTCTGTTGTCTCTTCCTCATAGATAAGAATGTTGATAAGGATACTTTGACATTTGTTTAATTTCCACTTGTATACAAAACACAGTCATAACCTGTAACCAATGAGTGTGGCCAAGAATCCAGTAGACTTGACAATTTGATTTGATTTCTACAGTAGGGAATAGAAAAAGTAAAAATGATAAAAAAAAAAAAAAAAACTCCCCATTCTTAATGTACTGACCTGCTGCAAGAACGACTTTAGTTTTCTACAGCTGCTGAGAAAACACTGTTCCACCAATCATTTTCTGTGAGAAACTCTTCAGATATGGATCAGGAGGAGGGTCAAGCAACAGACGATAGGAGGAGGTGTGTGTCTACATGTGGGACACAGACAAGTTACACCAACTAACCCAAATATTACACTGGCTGTGGGCTGAGACGGTCATATGACGGAGTGTTTTTTTTTTTTATTACTGTCTGTATTCTTCATGGTGTTCTGTCGACTGGAGTGATTATATCCATTGCGCATGGCATTTCTTTTGAGGGGAAATATATCTGCTCTTGACTACACATCATCTGCATGCACTCTTTGATGCAGACCATGGGATTTGGGCTCTCATTGAATAAATCACTGAGGACTGGATGCTAAAATGTGGACTTTATCGTTCATTTGGTTTCTGCAACTCAATTTTCTATCCCTGGGTTTATACAACACCAGGATACTGCAGCACAGGAGTAAGTATTTGAAGCATAAGAAGCAATTTCAGCATACAACTTCTGCAAATGCAAAGGTTTTTATTTTCCTTCAATTAAATAATATTTATCCTCACAAATTTCCAGAATTTTGAATTCTGAGCTTTTTTGTTTCCCAATTTCTGTTTAAAAGAATTCTTGTTTGTTCAATGTTATACTCCAAGTCAGTGGTTTGATATGTAGCTCTGCACCCTGTTAGGGGGGCCGCCCCCTACTTTGGGAGCCACTGCTCTAACTCGATGTCAAATTAATTAATTAACAACAAATACATGTATTTCTCTCACTCTGGCTGTCTGAGCATTTGTGCTAATTGGACTTTACCTTGTAACAGGGAACCCCTCTGTAAGCAGAGAGTGTCCCACTGGATGTGCATCATGTTCAGCCCTGAATGGATGTCTCTCCTGTAGACCTCGCTTCTTCCTTCACTTGGAGTTGGATGGGATCAGAGAGAGAGGCACTTGCCTCTCAACCTGTCCCCGGGGTTACTACGGCAACCGCTCACCACACATAAACAAGTGTAAAAGTAAGTAGCACTGCCTTGAAGTGTAGGTGTTTTTACTGGAGATGGCAGTGAGGTTGTCTCAGGACAATTGTATGAAAAAATACAAGTGATATGTGTGTTTTCATGGAGCGAACCCTCCAGTCATCACAAGATGAAAGACGGGTGATGCCTATTAGCTTTACTTTGTACTTAAACAAGCAAATAACTGCAGATGAGTCATCTGATTTAGTTCTGAGTGCTCGCTGTGCCATGACTGATCACTCTCATTGCAGGGTGTAAAGAGGAGTGTGCCTTCTGCTTCAGTGAAAATTTCTGCACCCGATGTCATGCTGGCACATTTTTGATTCGAGGCAAATGTGAAAGCAGCTGTCCAAACGGACTGACAGCGAACGCAGTACTGCGAGAATGCACAGGTGGGACATCATCACTGGTGCATGCAGTATAAATAGTGTGCAAAAAATATTTTGCATTTATTTTGTAACCAACGTTATATTTGTTTTGGTTACAAAACAGAAATAATTGCTGGAGATTATAATACTTAAAACTATTTATTGTAAAAATTATACATCCATTCTTTGTTAGCAGATCTCTACATCTCCACATTTGGTCCTTTGGCACAAACCCTGGTCACCTTAGTTAACAGATTTTCAGCGGAGTTTAAATTAGGCAAATGACCCTTGACTTTTTATGTTTATGACCAATACTTCAATGAAAATACTTTAATATTTATTTTATGTGCGGGTCCAAAAATTCCATTCTTGACTGTATGTATATTTTTCGTCTCAGATTGCCCAACAGGCTGTAGGGCGTGTGTGAGGAGGAACATGTGTGTGAGATGTCGAGAAGGTCTGTATATTCTACATGGGAAGTGTCACACCAGCTGTCCAAATGGAACTGAACCTGATGTCCAGCTCCTGCAGTGCATCCCCAAGAGTGAGAGAATCTCCTTTCTCTTGAATTCACCACACACTCACACTGTTCAGTACTGTACTTTATTAAGTTCTCCACAAATCACTTCAACTGTCTTCTTCTAGTAAACTGTAAAGTTGGGGAGTGGACAGAGTGGGGTCCATGTCTGCAGAAAGTTAACACGGAGGGCTACAAGAAAGGAGAAGAGTCTCGCACTAGACAAGTTCTCCAGTCCTCTGGTCCTGACGGCCACCCCTGCCCCCATGTGATTGAAGTCAGGAAATGTGCCATCAAAGACACAGAGTCCCTCATCAATGAGTTTCTGAAACTGCAGAGACAATGATCTTTTTTTTTTAAATGCAGTTGTTATATGTGATGCTATTGTAAAATGAAATATGTAAAAACATATTAATCAAAAGTAAATTATTTGAATGGATGAATGGGAAGATGAATGAATGATGGATGAATTCTTTATTTGTTTATTTACCAATTACTGTTTTATACCGATTAATTTGTTTTTTCCCTTAATACATTATTTACTTTAATACATTTATAAAGTCTGTAGTGTATAAAACAATTATTTATGTGCATACCAAATACTGTACACATGAGAATAATGATTCTACTTAATCTAAATCTTTTCAGCTGACTTACAAACTCCTCTATAAGTGCTTGCTTACGACTGTCATGCATTACAGAGACACAGCTTCATTGTTGTCTACACACGCAAGTCCTATTTTACTGCAACAACACATACATTCAAGGGTTCTATTGAAAAGCGCCACAAGATATTATAATTCTTCTGGTGGTGATGTCACTACATCATTATGTGGCAGACTGTAAAGATTGTACTGCTGCATTCAAGTGTGAGGGTAAATAAAGGTTTATTCTGTTTCCACTGTCAAACTGAGATGTGTTTGTTAAAAAGAATAATTGGACGGCTAAGTTCACAATTCAGACATTAACAATAGTGTCTATCAATAGACATTTGATAGACGTACAAACAATACATTGACTTTAAAATTATTTTATATATAATTCTGTTCTAAAGTTGCTGTTTGGCTTTTGTTATTCTGCAGTTTATATATATATATATACAGTATATATAAATCCATGTGACACATTGGGGCAATAATCTCGTCCAGTAAACGTAAAGTGCATTGGCCAGTCATCGACCAATCAGAGAGCTCCCTCTGATTTAACTGTTTGGTTTGTTTTTAAAGGGCACCAACTTTATCATTACTTACCATATTTAAATTAACTGAAAATACACCCAGGTTTATTAATATACGACTGTACTTCTGCCAGGAAAGTTTACTAGAAACACCCTTTGCTCCGGTGAGTGTGTAAAGAGAAAAGTTGAAAAAGGTGCTGCAAATTCCCTGTCAGCTAACATGCGGCTACATATGCTGTAACAATGCAGGTGCTTTTAGAGATTATGACTAAAGTTGTACAATGTTCTTTAACGTCAAAATATCACAATGAAAAAGTAGCCTTTTACGTCACTGACTTCGGTAGAACAGACACAAACGTTAGTGAAGCTGTCAGTTAGCTTAGCATTAACTTGGATAATTTACTGTCAAACAAATGGGGCGTTACGTTTTGCTGTTTACCTCAGTAAATCATTACTGATTGTTTTCCTCAATTAGTAAAAAGGGGTAAGGCGTTGTGTTTATTTCCTGATTGCATTAGTGAATAGCATAACCTGGCTTTACAAACGAGGGCGTTTCCCAAAGTGCAGCAACACAACAGGACATTTTGCAGTTTAAAAGACTGGTATATCATCGTGCAATGTGTGAATGAATATACAGATTATATATATTTGTTTAACTGTTTTTTTATTGTTAATTAGTTGTCATTATTGGTACTGATAATCCACATACACAAAAAGGTTGCTGTTTATTCCCTGTAGTTTGTCGATTTAGATAATGGTCATGTTAATAAATAGGTTGAACACAAAGCCCTTTGGAACATGGCCGCAGGCGCAAAATAAAGCGGGATGCTGTAGATATTCCCAAGAAGGGTGTTGCAGGGCTACGGCTAGATCCTGAACCGGTCACTCCGGTTGAAATGGCATCCCAGTCTCAGTCTTCATCATTTGGTACTTTGTCTCTTCCTCCGATTAGATCCTCAACCATTCTGGGACACCGTCTCTCCAATTCTTTCTCCTCTTCACTCACTACCCTAGAAGAGTCTTTGTCTCAGCTCTTAGTCAACCAAACAGAGGAGAAGGAGGAGGTGGAAGGAGATGAAAAGCTTCAGACATATGAGTTTGGACCTGTCTGCAGAGAAAGGGAATATGGCAGCGAAATTGAGAGCACGGTCGAGTCAGTGTCACAGAGAAGACGGACGCCAATAAGACCGAGTCAACCACCCAGAATACCACCCAGGGGCAGACCCTCCAACCCTGCACTCAAGAAATCCAGATAGACTGTATTGTGACTGACTGGTAACTGCAGCTGAACAAGTAAGTCAATAGACATTTTGTAACAACGTGTGATGATTAAATGCAATCAAATATTTCTGGTATATTCTTTCCAACATTTCAAACATCCAATCACCTTAATTGAATATATTCCCTGTAATCTTTGTCAATTACCACCCAATAAAAATCACTAATACATCTCTAATGTATTACGAATGAATCTCGAATACAACTGTGTGTGCTATGTATATAGTCTGTATTGAATGACAAAAATGTGATTTTCTTTTGCACTTCTGAGGAAAAGATAATAACTGTTTTTTTTCCCCCAGTGTTATCAATGAGAAGTTTATTTGAAATTTATTTTCTCTTCAAATAACAAAATGAGAAACTGAAAATTTCTCTGCAAACATTGCTCAAAAGCCCGTGGTATTAAAACTCCTGGATCTTACAGCTCAAAAGAACCTTAGGTTATTAAAAAACGAACGAACAAACAACAACAACACTGTGGTAACATTGGTTTTCTGCTCTCACAAGTCAATGCGTATTGTTGTTTTTTAAGGTCCCCGAAATGCCGTTACCCTTCTATAGATTGGCCTGTAGGTGGCAGTGAACTACTGTCATCTGAGAAAAAGAGTCAGCGCAGTTAAAACAACGCAGTTAAAAAGGAATCTACATGCGATGTAAATCAGTTGGTATTTCATGGTATTTGTATATAATAATAATAATAATAATAATAAATTACATTGTTGCAGATTATTTTCCAAATGTTTTCCTACCCTTTTAGATGGTTGATTCATTTCGTAGTAGATAATAACTGACAGAGCATACAGGAGTGAATTTAGTGATTCATTAATCTACCTTTTCATCTAAAAACTAACTAAATTACAATTAAATTAAAAAAAATCATAAATTGTAAAATCCATTGAATTCAGAATCAAACCATCATAATCTCATTTTCAGCAATTGAGTCAGAAATAGAGAAGTACAGTATATGCTTTGTGTTCAGTGGTCTCCAAAAACAGCTTCTGAATCAGTTGGACATGTCAGGCATGATTTACACATTTTCTACCACTTTATCCTGTAATGAGACACTTGGGAACCTGGTACAGGTCAGTGCTGACGTTGGAGTGTACCATGAATGATTCACTTTTTAACACGGGGGCCACATGTATAGACAAACAACAATTTACACTCAAAACTTACTGTATGGGAAAGTTTGATTTTTCTAATTAAGTTCTAATTTACGTAATCCTCAAGACCATGGTTTTGGACAATTTTAGGAAGCTGCAGTAGTCACAGAAACAGATTTTTTACACAAATATTCCAGTAATACACACTGCATTTATTCTATGGTCGACTATATGGTGTAGTGAGAAATAAAACCCCAGTGTTTTGCTGCATGACAGAAAAAAATAGATTCTCTCAGTTATCATTATCCACTCCTGCCACCCACAAAATGAGTCCCTCTGACCTACTTTCGGGTCATGATACACTACTGTATTTGAGAGCCACAGCTGAGCTGGATTCCATCAACTGGGGTCAGAGAGTTTGCCATGTAATGTAGCACAGAAGTGTGATGTATAGGAGGCAGCGCTTTTGCTTTTGTTTGACTTGACATGACTTTGTTTTATTCACTAGTACATTCTACCACAAGGCAGTCAGAGGCCCTTTGTAGCAAACCTTTTTCCCTAAATAGTCCTGTCACACCCATGTCTCTCGTCACCTAGAGGCCTAGAGGTGAGCACTGTTGTTGTGTGGATTATTAGTGACCTTGTTATTGCCTTAACAATGTCAAATGCTGGAGTTCTTGCAACATCTTCTTTCAAAACAGCTACTGTTTTTAATGTCAGTGTGTTTTAAGGTTAGCACAGTAAAACAGCTCATGCCAGAGACTGAGGTGCAGGTTATTCCTGCACACATCATGTGCCATCCTTTATGCAGCAGCTGTGATTGTTGTGTCTGTACATTTGCCGTATGTGGGTTTGACACGCCATCAATATTTCTAACCATAATGCAGAGATTCACAGACAGGGTATCTCACTCATACAGGAGCCAGGGGTGACTTCACCCTCGCTGCAACCATCATCATCCCGAGACCATAAGAGCCTATCAAGTGACATGTCGCACTAAGCCTGCTGCTACTGGACCATTTATAACACCGACGTATCATATCATTACTATGATGACTAATACAATCATTAAATTTATATTGTGGGTGGTATCATTTCTATATACAGCGGCGTAAGCATGTCTGTTCTCACGTTTGCTAGTTGGCTCATTCATGCTGTAAAAGTGACATGTAAGTGGTGATGTGAATTTATGTCAGTTGAATAAAACTACTGTGTATATAAGAGGTCCGGTTTTTTTTGGAGAAAGAGAAAGAGAAAGATATATATTTTAAAGCAATCCAATTCAAATTGTGACATTGGCTCTCCAGGTCACACCACTGATTTCCAGATTAATTAATTCATTAAATAATGAATTAAATTAGATTAAGCACAGGGCAGTGAAACACTTTAATTTCCTTAAGTTTAGGCCTTTATGTTGATTTGGACATAATCTTGTGATTGTTGTCACCAACACCATATTTTCCAGACAATAGAATGTTCACTGTGATGTGCAGTTAGCAAATTGAAGAAAACATAAAAAGTAAACTTCAGCAGATGCGGCAGAACACGAAAGGGCAAAAGTTAGCTTCATTCATGTGCAAAGTTGGCTTCGGTGTCAGTCCACGTGATCACTCCCCACTGATGTAGCTACTAAATTCGAATTATAATTGGTCGTTAGTCACGTGATAAGTAGACCTCTATAGTCACCTCTGCCGGGCAACACCAGCTAATCCCACAAGAACACACCACTCTTATTTTGAAAGACGAGTCGCACGGGTTGTCTTTCAAAGGAGGGATGTATGGGCCCCATTCTATTTTAATGGAGTGGTCTGGAATTCTCAAGAACCCTGTAGGATCTTCCAGGCTGTCCTTGATGCTCCCATCTCTCACTTATCATCGAGCACTAGAGACAGTCCATTCAGTGGACTGACACAGACACACTGACAGTTTAGACAGATGGGTGAAGACAGCAAGCTAGGTTGTGACCTGGTTGCACTTCCTCCAGGTCACCACATGGGATGTTATGCATCTTTTTTAATCAAGTGGGATAAAGAACCTTTAGTATATTGATGGTATTCAAAAGTACAATGATTTTTATTTTCAATGAATTCATGATTAAGCTTCCAACAACAATGAGTGTGACTTTTTAAGATGCTAAGTAATACTCTTTGTATCAGGGTAACATTTAATATGCATTAAATATTTCTCCTAATTTAATTTATTTTTTCTTCTTCCTTCCTTGTGTTGTGCGTCCTTCAGTGTTTATTTTGCCGCCTCTGTGTTGTTTTTGTTTTGCACTCCCTTGTCTGTTGCACAAGCACGCCATTGTAAAACTGCAAAACGTGTCTATCTTACCACCTTGTTTATGAAAACATAACCTCACATGTCTGTACAGGAGGATGCCAACAGAGGGACACTCCTATTAAAGAAAGAGAAAAATGTAAACACTGCGTGTTATCGAGATACGACAACAAAACTGCTCTGTAAACGTTTTTACAAGAGAAATGTAATTGATAGGTGGTGCACAAAGACGACCCAGCAGTCCTGGAACCTTTTATGTTTAACCTTTTGGACAGGGTGGTCCTCTCACTCTTATTTCCTCATTTTATGTGGCATGCACGAGTATATGCTCAAACAAATGGCTGTTAACCATCTATTTTGAGTCTGTCACAGTAGCAACTGACACATACTAAGGATTTCAGTGTGCACCTCTGAAGTCCAACTGTAGTGAATGAAAGGCCTGTCCGGGCAGAGATGCATCACAGGGGGCAGAGGTCACAGGACCAGGGACAGGTGTGTGGGTGCGAAGAGGCAGGAAGGAGTGTAAGTTTAACACGGTAAAGAGGATGTTATCTCAGCCACCACAGGCTACTGGAGACGGATGTTGCACTTATTATTACTCACCAGAATACCACATACAGTACATTCATGGTCTGGTGAATCTCTTCTCTCAAATATTTATGTTTTTATGGAAACTATAAAAAGAGTCATTCTTAGCCTGTCTATGGGAATTTAACTCTCTAAACTTACTGATACTCTAAATAATATTGTGCAAAGCTAGACTTTTACCTCCTGTGTGGCTCCTATGGCTAAAGCTGTCTGTTCTGCAGTTCACTTTCATTCTCGGCAATTTGTCTTTATTTGCTCTGTCCAGTGTCCTGTCCAGTAGAGAACCCGTCATGATGTCTAGCACTATTTACAGTTTAACCTTGGATAATGTTAATAACTAATGTGTGTTTCTGCACGTTGGAATGATCATGCAAAGGAGATGAGTTGAGGACACAGGAGTGATGGCCAATGAAGTGCCTTGTTAAAATACCCATAATGCCTCAAAGAAGTGCCAACCTGTGAGATTGGCTTTCAATCTCTCTCTCTTTCTCCCTCCCCCTTTCTCTCTCTCTCTTTCCAAAACACACACACACAAACAATGACTAAAACTCAACTTGATTTCTATTTATTTGTACGGATAATTCAAAATCTTAACCCTGACCAGATTATTGACTGTTTATATTTATTAAAAAATAACTACTTTTTTAAATGCAAATAAGTTAATGCAATTTAATTGAATTAAAATTTAAAAATGTCCCACTTCAATGGGAGGCAGAAATAGCCACACAGTTAGCACATAAAAGAAACAACACTGAGAGAAGAACCAACGCCCCCCTCTCACCCTTTATTTATACCCCCCTCCTACCCTAAAAGACAGCGGGGCTAAGATTTCTGGCACCAAAACACACGTCACGCTTGCTATTTCAGTCTGATGTGCAACATTGCACCGGAGGTTGGGTGACAGGGCTGAGGCATCATGGAGCGACGGCACTTCCGTACACTCACCCTCAGCCTTTGTATGACAATTCACACTTTAGCAATCTCTGCTAGAAAGAATGTGCGTATGTGTAAGCATGGCTATGGCACATTTAGGCACAACTGCAGGTTTGTTCCTCGAGTGTGTGCTTGTTTTCACACCTTTGGTGGGAAAGGTGTCAGCAGTGTCAGAGGTGGGAAACCAGGGATTCCACGTGGTGCACAACAAAATCACAGCATCAGGTGATCATTGTGTGCACAATATTTGTATACAGATAGAGGAACTCATTTATTTCATAAAACCCCAAAAAGGTCCACCCTCCAATGTTGCCCAGTGAGAACTGACCTATTTTATGCCATAATACAAATGTGGAAATAAATTCTGATTTGATCGAATGTAACATAAAGAAAATGGATCCCAGGTATATTTTATAGTGTACATTTTGGCAAGCAATTACCGTATGTTGTGTTTTGCCTCAATGCTTTAAATAATATCACAATATCATAAAAGGTTAACAGGTTTTTACAAAGTGAGAAAGTCACCCATCAGAATAAAAAAAAATCTCTGATTATTTACTTTTGGGAGTGCTAATACTCGAAGGGATTATGTGTAGAGACACAGCCCTTTTTATATATAAAGTCATTTTTAGTTTGTCTAAGAACTTTTTGACTTACCCTGGTGTAGATTGCAGCAGAAAGAGCTACATGTGTACTGTCACAAATGCATTTTCTTGAGGGGATAACAACTTTGTTCTCAACTGCATTTTATGTGACAACATGTATGTATCTCATCGGCCTCCCTGTGCTTGTGTCTTAAACAGCTCATATGTTTTGACATTCATGAACAGTTAGCTCTTTTGCAACGGCGACACAGTCAAGGCGTCATGGTGTTGGTATGCGGGTGAGTTGCTGGTGTCAAATGTCCATAGCCAGGTACGGCATCTAGTAAATCATCAACACCCTGAAAGACGAGTTATCAATAATGCAGCAGAACAATGCAATTCTGATATGATAAAAAAGAGAAAAAAAACACAAAGAATCAAAGCAATGTTATATTTATTACCAAGGGAAATTACAGTAAAGGCATATTATGGTAATCATTACAGCTGTTATATGAACTTCATAAATATGTAACACTGCCATTGACACTGGTGGACAGGTTGAATTGGATATAACATGGCAACCCTGAAAAATAAACACATTACAAGGATACGGTACGTGCTAAATCTCTCTATACAGAAAAGGGTAAAATACAATCCAAAAAAGGAGGGTCTGTCAGCTAATGTTAGGCACAGAAGAAGCAAAGGCCACAGCAACACTAGAGAATGTAGAGGGCAGCAAACCCCTTTTTTTATACATTTTAGGAGAACAGTACTGAATATTTACACAGTCAATGTTGGCAGGGGGCACAAGGAAAGGGGGGTTTGACGTGGGTAGGGATCAAGCCTTAGTAAAATGGGAAAGTGATCACATAATGACCGTTTCAGTCTGAGGAGAGTAGGAAATGGGAGGACGGTGCTTCAGAGCTGGACTTGGGGATCTCGTCATGGGGCTTGGGGGACGACACATGGGGCCTGATGGCACTGTGATCCTGGCTGTTGGAGTGCGACTGGCCCATCTGGAAGGTGGTCGCTGGTTGGCTGGCCGTGCGGGACGAGAGAAGTTTCTCTTTGGTTTTACTGGGGACATCTCTGGATTTGTCTGGATGGAAAAGTTAACACGTCAGAGTTAGTTACATTTTCACTAAAATTTAAAATCCAAGCCTGTGGTGTTCGATGTAATCAAGTGTCGGTGCAGACAGAACCTACCAGCTGGGACTCCTGTCTAATGGCTGTGGTACTTGTCCTGGGACTGAAACTGAACTCGTGTTGAATGTCCAACATGTCCAGCAGCTCAATGAGTCCTTCATCCCTCAATTGGGTAGAATCTGGCAACTCCTGACCAGCTAACCCACCCCTGTGAGTCTTCTGAGCTCCAGAGGAAACACTTGACACCCTGTAGTCCATTTTGGGCTCCACATGTTGGGGAGCAGACTTTCTTCCTCCATCCCTGTCTGTCAGACTGTTCGTCCGAGGTCTGACTTTCGGGCTTCCTGGTACCTGTGATCTTCTCTGGGACTGCTGGGGACTGGGCTGAGATCCTTTGGAACTGTTGTAGATTCCCCTGTGATCTTTGTGATGCTGTCTACCAGAGTCAGATACTAAAGCCCATTCTTGGCACGGCTCTAACTCTGCTGTCATCACATCACATTCTGCTTGGCATTTGTGGGCAGGCATACGGGTGGGAGCCCTGCCGCCAACTCCCAATGTTCTGCGCTGACAGCTCGGGGTAGGACACTTTGGCTCCAGGGTTGGTGCCTGCTGGGTCACCACTCCTGTTTCTGTCAGCGTTTTCCCCTCGTTCTCCTGCAGCATAGCTCCGAATTTCCTCAGAACGGAGGGGCTGCTGCACAGTCTGTCTCCCAAAACACCTGGACTGAAGGGCTTCCTGTCCAGAGCAGGGGACTCGGTGGTCGTACCTGGTAGCTGGGAACGTGACTGTGCAACCAGAGAGTCCCTTTGTCCCAGTGGAGGTTTAGCACCTGTGCTTTCTTTGTTGGGGGAACCCTCTCTGCGGGGCGAGTTCTTCATGTGTGACACTTGGTTCTTCTTGTTTTCATTCTCCTCAAAACTGCCTTCATGTCTAGTTTAACATTAAAAAAATAATAGTAAAATATTAACCACAATATAACTTGGTGTCATCTAAATATATATACGTTATATTTACACAGTTTTTATTTTCATTAAACTTTTCTCACCTGTTGTTTTCATGTCTTCTTCTGGTCTCTTGCTTGTGTAAAGGGACGTCCTGGCTCACCTTGACTGTGTCACTGAAGTGCTAAAAGAAATGGGAAAGAAATTAGATTATGACACAACCACCACTGCTTACATCATCTGATCAGTGGTCAATACTTGATTTGATACAAATAAAAACTCTCTGATCATTTACGTTATAAAGTTCTATTTTAATGACCATTGCACTTTAACATTTCATGTAGATCTGGGCTTTGAGCTCTGCTCAGTCACCAGTTAGGAATGTTTTAAGAGTTGGGTGAAAGCATGTGAAACTGTGATCTGGGGACCTGTATCTGCAGGCAGACTAGAAGGAACCAGCTTACTGTAATCAATATGTTCCTGACTCATATCATGTGCACCTCTCTGGTTTCTTCAGAAGTAAATAATAAAATAAAAAATGTGCTTTTGCTTCACTCACCACGTGACGATCTTTGTTGGTCTTGCGATGAATTTGCTTCCCTGCTCCTAAGTAATCCTGCAGCAAGTCTCCGATCTCGGAGACCCCATTTGTGTGACAGTAACCGTAGCCGTTTTGATGATTCATGGGGTAGCTGTACACACTGGGTTTGTAATTACAGTCATTGCTATAATGATGTGGCACAGGCATAGTTCCAGGGTGATTCTTGCTGTGATGGCCAGGCACATAAAGACCACTGCCATGGTTCCCAAGGCCACAGTCCAAGTCAACACCATTTTTCTGGTTGTCGCCGCTGATATCGTTTGCTCCTCTTCGAGCCTGAACTTCAGTGTAGAGCTGACAAAAATGAAAATAGGAAACTTGTTATATGAGGGTCAGGTTCTGGTTGTTTGACTTGATCGGTGCATGTTAGTGTCACATTTTCATGATTGACACATGGAAAAAGCATTTGTTTCCCATCATAACCTTTGATGTGTCCTTCAGTGTCCATTTACAATGTGTGTGTGTGTGTGTGTGTATGTGTGGCTCTGTCAGCACATCATAGTTAAATTAGCTTGTTAACATTTGCTTCTATCATTGCTCTAACAAGACTCAGAGGCCGAGTTGCTCGTCAGTTAATTATAGACCAAAATAGAATATTAATAACGAGCTCTGTGGGAATATGGAAACTCAGAATGACAAAACATTTTCACTGATTAAAGTCAACTTTGAAATGAATCCCTGTGATTTTGCAAAACTAGATTTACATCTGTGGAACCACAGTTTTCCACATTAACCGTGGACTAACAATAACGCAAAATGAAATAGTTGAACAAAATCCATTATTTAATATTAGGGGCAACTTTATACCCTGACATTCTCACCAAAGCCTATACACCAAAGCCAAATTCCCATTTACTGTACCCTAATCCAAAATACGTGTCGACTGCTACCGATTGCTACCAGCTGCTTTGTTTAATGTCTCATGTGTCCGTTGTCTGTACATTGCACACAAAGCCTGAGATCATACTTTCATCCTCACCTCTTCTATTTTCCTCTGGATGTCCTGCAGCTGGTCCTCCCACTCCTGCATCTCAGAGTCAAAGTTGTCCATCAGCTCTGGCCTCTCCTGTCCCCAGCCACGACCTCTGTGTTCCAACCCACGCTCCAGATCAATGGCTGCCATGACGTAGGTCGCTAAATAGCCAGAGGCCTGTTTGAAAGGCAATTTCCCCCTCCTCCTGTTTCACTCTTTGGTCTGGGGTCACTGTGGGGTTAGCAACGAGGGACGGAAGGATCAATGACCTTGAAACACTAGAGAGGAAAAAAACATGAAATACAAAAGAGTTGTTAGCAGTTGGCGAGACATGACTCACTGTGTTTTCAAATCACATTTTAAACACGTTTTATTTGTCATCTATAGAATAAACCTTAAACACATAGTTGAAGATTTTCCACATGTCACAATACTTTAATATTCCCTTTGACACTCTCTGTTTTAATAAATGTAATAATAAATTTACATTTACATTTCTCTCCTTTTGCATTCTTCTTCAATATTCACAGTCATGTAAGCCCACCTACGCAGCACGTGTGGACAAGGGTGTTGCATGACAGTCTTGGGAGTTATTAAACTCTTGGTCACTTCGACCTCCAGCCTGTCTTGGTGCTCCACAGGAAGACAAAAAAAATGACAAGCATGCGCAAGGGGTGGTCATTTTTTTGGAACCTGAGCCACTGCTGCTCACATGACACAGTAGGGTATGTGTGAAGGCATGGGTCTGTTGCTACATCAAATACTGTCCAGCATGACCACCAATGTGCTTTGTTTGTAAAGACAAGCAGAAGAACTTCAAATAGTATGCAGTACTATTCAGTATCCAGTAAAACTCATCCAGCACAGCTGTATATGCTCTCGTCCAGTGTGCTTTTTCAGTGTTGCACCGTCACGCTTTCTCCTATAGTAGTACATGGTTTGAGGATAATGAGATTCATAGTGCTAGATGTAGAAAGTTTGTCTTTTACACAGGGTCCAGCAATAAACAGCCAGATTTCCTAAGTTTGTATCATGAGGAATAAAAAACGTAACATGATAACAACGCCTCACGGTCGGCATAAAGATTCAAGAATTAAAATCAGGATCTCTGACGTCGTCGTCGTCAGCATTTGTTGATGATTGTCTGATGATTACACTGAACTCTTACTGAACTCTTTTGGTTTGAGGACAACATTATCTTGCACTGTATACAATTATAATAATATACAAAACAGAATAATAACAGTCCATTTATCGAAAGTAATATTATGGAACATTTAGTGTTTAAAACGGAAGCACACGGATTGCCTAACTCCCACCACACCTCCAACCCAGTACACTTGATACAGGCAGCCTTTGTTGTCATTAGTTGTTGACATCAGTGGATGTGATTAGTGTCCAAGTAGAAAGTGTCTGAATGTACCAGTCACTTCTCTCCCGCCTCTGAGAGTGGAGATATTAATAATCTAGTAACTATGCATAGTAATCTGGCCGGAGTGTGGCACAGGGGCGCATAGAGTGCAAGAGTGTCAAAAGCAATAAACACCACCAAACAGAAGTAGAATGAACTGAAGTAGAATGAACTGTACTGAATTACTTTCCAACATGTCAACAAATGACAAAATTAAGTAACTACTGGGGTTAAAAAAATCCTCAAGTAACTATTTTTGAAGTGAGTAAAAAATTGTAAAAAAAAAAACATTTTGGTTTAACCATAAGTCATCCTTACCTTATTCTACAATTTAGTGTCCTCTGTCCTCCTGTATTAATCCCTGCTCTGGCCAACCTGCTGCGCGCTGTGCGCTCTAGCCTCTCCAACACATCCACTCCTGGTTAAGTCCACTCTGTCCACTGAGCCAACGCTTCCTCCTCGCTCTCTCTGTCCTCTGTTGTGTTACGTAAAACGACCTGCCGGTGGGATTTAAAGCCCCCTGTCCCTCGTCACGACTTGATTATCGAGGTTAAGTCAGGAGTGTTGGGCTAAAGGGTAAACAACTTGTGTTCCAGCCTGGTACCCAGCCTTTATACCGCTCCTCAGTGTTTACGCGCGGCGCGCCATCGGAGCCGGGATCAAATGTCATGTCAAATTTATTCCAGCATTTGAAGTCTCGATGGGGACAACTGTCGTCACCAGCATCCTGGCTATAATTACCTGCGCTCACGGAGAGAGAGAAAGTGTTTACATAGCTATTTCAGCTGCTGCGCTCTAGCGGCCAATGGGCTTTTCTGTTGCTACTCTGCTTTCGGATGCTCGGGCAGACTTCGCCTTGTGACCAGGCTCTGCTCTAAATCATTTTTCCAAGTACTGCCAAATAGGTATGCGTGACACAGTGTGTAATAATATGTCACAGTCAATAATGTCTATATATTATCGTCAGGAATAAATGGTACCAGGTGGATGTATGGAATGTTTCCCAAATGTTTTTTAAACAATTGCATACTGTTGTTTGGACAAAACGTATCTATATGAAAAGTAATTAAATGAAATAATAATAAATACATAAATAAAAAAGATTGAAACAGAGATTGAAAAATGAATCTCACTGTCACATGTCCTGTGCCGCAAATGTGCAAAAGAGCAAAATGTCTGAAATGTCCTGGAGTAACCTGAACTTGTTACTGTGTTCTTGACTCATCCTCCCGTGCTTGACATCTCAGGGCAGTTGCTAATGTTCATCTCCCACACCATCAATAACTAATCAGGAGTCCCATAGGGAATTTTTGGGCCCCCGGACAAGATATGACATTTGGCACTTGACATGATCGTCAGAATTCCTTCCCCTGCCTGGTTCATCATCACCATTCCTCCACCTGTTGACTTCCCTAATGCATGGTAAATCCTTTGGGAGTCACGGAGAGGGGCAAACACAAACTTTATCCTGATTTCACCTTGAGGCCAGACCAATGACATGACGGCACAGAAGTGTCCTTATAGAAATCAAAGGGTCACTGTCATCTTCAGTCCCTGCACTGGGCAAATATGTTTAGCAGTGACACAAAGCAGTATGGGAAAGTATAATATTAACCTGTTATCTCCCTTTATTCATTGATTGTTTAATTAAAATTATTTGTCTGACATTTAACACAACTGTTACTAGTGAAACTGACTGATCGTTCTGAAAAAGAAACAAACCTATTTCTCAACTTTAAGCTAACCAATGTGAATGTCACAATCTTGCTTGTGTCCACTTAGATTGTGGCTTTAAATAAATAAGATATTTAAGTTGAATATTACAAAAAAATAACTTTAAAAGTTTGTATTTCTAAAGACATCACTTTTAACGGCTACACAGAGTATGTGGTGCTGAGTAAATCAGCAAAAATAAAAATGTAAATATTTGTAATGACACACCCCTAGCTCACCTTTTCAAATGACTGCTGCAGATCTGATAGGTTGTTGGTGATGAAGAGTCCAGTGTCGATCCTTGCCACAGACTCCTGAATGTGAGTGTGGCTGAGGCAAGTGCTGAGATTTTTTTTTTTCTGTGCTTTGGATTACCTTGGCAACAAATGATGTGGGGAGTAAAGGAAATCAACAAACCAAACAACAAATAAACAAAAGGTTATGCAAATAAGAAATGTGTACGTCACAGAACAAAGAAGAGGGTAAAGAGGAAGACTAATTTGAAGATGGTGGCATAAGAGAGAGATGAGAACAAGACGAGTATGAGGATGAGCAAAATGATGGGCTGGAACATCTGAGAGACAAACCATAATGGGTGAGAAAACACAGGTTGGATCAGGTGAGAAAAGGGAAGAAACAGAGTCAGAATTCAACTGTATGCATTATTAAGTGATTCACCATGAAGTCATAAACACAGGTAATGGGTCTCTCACCGACAGCGGCTCCTCCGTGTCTCTGTTCTCCAGCCTTGGAACTTCCAGTTTGTCTATAAAGGCCTGCAGCTCCTTCCTGAAAGCCTTCATTTGGGCATTGATGCGATAGAGCAGCTCGTGCTCTCTGATCCTGCTCCCATCATCCTCTGAACCATCTTCCCCTGCTCTGCCAAGCATCAGTTCACCGTTAGAAACGAAGACCCTCGCCTCCGAGATGATGCTCGCTGTATCAGCAATGAGACAATCAATGGTCCGAATTAGCCTCTCTGCTTCTATGCGTATGTCAATCATTTGCTGCCTGTCCCTCAGGCTGCAGTGACCGCTCGGCAGGAAGCGAGCCAGGCCAGGAGACGAGGCCCCCTCAGGCCCAGTGGGAGTGTAGAGACCCCGTGTGGGCGTCAGACAACGGCTGCTGACGCTTTTGGTTCTTGCACCCTACTGGGGGCGCGCTCACCACCTCACAGACCGTCA